GTTGTTGTAGGACCTCATCATCATCTTAGAGACCTCAAAGGTCACTGCCAGGAATGGTCATAGTTCACTGCAGAAAACCTAAGCAATTTAAATGTCGTATGCAGCAGATCTATTAGGAGTTAGAGGATCATAGTCTGTTAAATACCTCCAGGGTACACTTAGTTCCCAATTATCTGCTTCAAACTCTAGCCCAAAATCATGAACAGGAAGCTAGAAGGACCCTATTTTTAGAATTAGTTAGTGATCTATACAACCATTAATATCATGCAGAAAGTTTAAATATCAAACAGAAAGTTTAAATATATATAATAATCTCATAAATTGTGAGATATTTATACCTTAGTAAAAGTCTTAAATAGTCAAAGCAAAACCAAAGGATTATGAAATTAGTGGCGATAGAATGGTCTCTTATTTTTTTTCTTCCATATCATGTGGTTCTTCGGATGTGAGACTGAGATTTCGGATTTTTTTTTTTTTTTTTTTTTTTTTTTAACAAGAATGCTTGGGGTTTAGAGAGGGAGAGAGTCACGTTGCAGTTCCAAGGCCAGTGTTAATTTTTAATTGAATTGGGACTACAAAAAGGCCATTTGCCTTTTATGTCTATAGAGAATAGCAGAAACAAACATTTGGGAAGATTTATGAAATTCTATCCTGTTGGAGGTCTGCTACAATGTTTGGCCAATTTACTCTTTTTCTCATGGCGCTTTCTCTTGATTTGTCCTTCTTCAGATGTCTTCTTTGTTCAGTGGTCTTCAGATTTCTTAGTTGGAGGCCTTATTCTTCTGGAAAGATGAAAACAAAACTGTGCCTCAACCCTAACTTTGGGGAGTTCCCTGTTTTGTAATGTTATATCTGGTCAAATTAAAAGGATCTGTTAGTCTTATAAGTAAGTTTAGACTAAATGGTCATGCTATCTAATAAACTGTCACCAGACCCTTCTGTTCAAATCTAATCTTTATCTATCTTGATGATAACTATAGCTTTTCTACTTCTGTGGAAACAAAAGCAAAACCTTTTCCCAAACATATATTCCTGGTTAACACTTTGAGGTTAACACATCTTTAAAATATATAGGCTGATTTAATTCAGCAGTTTTTTCTACTATCCAATGTCTCTCCATGGCTGTCACTTTTTTATTAGCATTTAAAAAATTAAATTTAAAAACCCATTGTGTAATCTACCTGGGGGGTCTTTATTACCTCTTTCTGTTTATTAAGCATATCATTTAAAGTATAATTAGATCTTTTTATAACTGTTTGTTTTGCAGGATTGTGTGGTATGCCTGTTATATGCTTTATGTTGTAATACACAAATAACTGCTTCATTTTACTAGAGACATATACTGGATCATTGTCAGTTCTAATTTGTATGGGTATTTCCATAATGGCCATGATTTCTCAAACCCTATAATTAGAGTCAGCCTTTTCAAAATTCAAAGCAGTGTACATGAAATTCTGAAGACAAATCTATGGTATGGTTCATATACTTTAATTTTTCAAACTTTGCAATGTGAAACATACCCATTTTCCAAATTTCATTTATTAGGGTTACTTCCTATAGGTAATGGAGTTTGGTTATGTAAAGAACAAGTAGGACCAGTCGTTGGTGGCATACACCTTTAATCCCAGCACTCAGGAGGCAGAGGCAGGAGGATCTCATCGAGTTTGAGGCCAGCCTGGTCTATAAAGCAAGTTCCAGAACAGTCAATACTGTTACACAGAGAAACCTTGTCTTGAAAAACAAAACAAAACCATTAGGAAATTATTATTGTATTTCCTAAAGTTTCAAATGCAAAACTAGGGCCCGTGAGGCAGACTATATAGGGCAGACTCATACCAATGCCCTGCCTGCAGGGCTGGAAAGCAGGAGCTTGCTGAGGTCAAGTGCTCAAATACTCTCTCACCGTCTATCATTCTCCCCTTATTTCCACCGAAAAGTGTGGAGAAGAGCAGGTGCACGGCTAGTGGCTCGTCAGACTCCCATCAGCTGCCGCCACAAACAATGATGTGAGGTCTGCAAACATGACTGACTGGAGTGATTCTCTGTTCCAAAGTCACTAGGCAGGACAGATGATGGGTAACGGTGAGCTCATAGAGCAGAGAAATGGCAGTCTCCCTGGTGAAGGCCCTCACTGGTCTGATCAAGGAGTCAAGCCACAGCCTAGATCGGAGAAGCCCAGCTTCCATGGCTGAGGCCTTAGCAATGTGCCCCACCCCTTTACAACCCCAGAAGCCCAGAAGGTTAAACCTGTCTGTCCAGGTAGCTGTTTCTTCTAGGCTAACTCACAAAGGCCTCATTCTTAACAAGGCTCACCATCTTCTCGCCCAGACCAGTCTTCTCTCTTATATTTTTTAGTCTGTAGCGGGTGGCTCACCCACACCCCTCCCAGACTGTTGTGCTGTGGATCTGGGAGCCACTGAGACTTTCTATTTCCATCTCCTGACCAAGTTACCTACTCCACAGCTATTGTCAGTGTTTCTCCTGATTTGTGATGACTTCAGCTGGAGCTCATTTGGGTCTCATTCAATTATTCCTCCCCAGAGCAGACAGGTGATCTTCCCAACACCCCTTTGTCCATGCTTCCCAGGTATCAGCATATTAAGTCAAGACAAGTATTTCCATCTGCCCTCACTTTCTCCCTCATCAAATGAGCTGGAACATTTTAACCAAGCTGAGCAAAGGGCAGATGCCCAACCATGTCCCAGCCTTTCTCCTTCAGCTTCTTCAGGACATTCCTTATGCTGTTCTTGTACACAATTCTTCCTCTACCCCATCTCCACTCCTCCAGGAGCTTAAATCACAGTGAGAGAGAGAGAGAGAGAGATAGAGAGAGAGAGAGAGAGAGAGAGAGAGAGAGAGAGAGAGAGAGAGAGTTTGTTCTTTGAGGATGCAGACAACCTGGGATTATTTGCTCCATGTCTTGTCCAGGCTTTCTGTCTGTCACTGTCCCATGGACTTGCAGGTGAGCTGTCAGTCACCCAGATGGACAGGTGCCTCATCTGGAAAAGCCTGGTGAATGATCAATGCATACTGAAAGGAACAGAGAAGTTAAGGAGACTCAGGCTGGCTCAGACAGCTCAGTGATTAAAAGCACTGGCTGTTCTTACAGAGGATCCAGGTTCAGTCTACCCACAGGGTGGAGAACCACCACCTGTAACCCGAGTTCTAGCAGACTTTTTGGTCTCCTCAGGAATCAGGCATGCACATGGTGTACAGATATACATACGGGCAAACACTCAAACACATAAATATATGTATTTTATTTTGCCAGGCATCAAGGCTTATACATATTTAATTCTGGCTCTTGGGAAGCAGAGGCAGGCAGATCCGTGTGAACTTGAGACCAGCCTGATCTACCTTTGAGTTCCAGGTTAGCCAAGGATACAATGAGACCCATCTTAATTTTTTTGTTTGTTTGAAATAAAGAGACACTCCTGCCGGGAGGCCTACCTCTAGTGGGCCATGGAGCTCTGCCAGAAGCTGTGACCAGGGAGGGCTCTGACCCTCCTCAGGACTGGGCCACAGGATGCTGGAGAGTTGGGCAGAGAGTAAGAACAGGGGAACCTCACAAAATTAATATATGAAAGGGGCAAATGGCAAAGAAGCCGCTGGAATGACCTTGCCCACCCTCTCATGAAATACACCAGCTCCAGTCACTGGCCCTCAGGGGCATGGTTCTCAGCCTGTGGGTTGGGACCCGTTCAGGGATCAAACGACTCTTTCACAGAGGTCACATATCCGATATTCTGCATATCAGATCTTTACATATCACCACAACATGAGGAAGCCAACAAATTAAAGGGTTGCAGCATTAGGAGGGTTGAGAACCACTGATCTAGAGTGTGGAGGTAACTGCAGCACACACTCCTGCCAAGAGATTTAAGGGTTATTGTGTCTGATGCCAGTCCAAGTGACAGAAGAATACTTCAAAATTCTAAGTCCTGATATTTTTTTTAATTTTATTTTTATTTAAAGTATATGAGTGTTTTGCCTGCATGTATGTATGCCTAAGCATCACCAGTGTTCCGAATATCTGCAGCAGCCAGAAGAGGGTGTTACATCCTCCTGGGACTAGAATTGCAGTTTGTGAGGTGCTATGTAAGAGAAGGAAGCCTAACCAGGGTCCTCTGCTCGAGCAGCGGTGGTCTTAACCGTGGAACCATTTCTCCAGACCCTAATTCAATTTTTTTTTGCATGTGTCCCGTGTGTGTGTGTGTGTGTGTGTGTGTGTGTGTGTGTGTGTAAGTCTTGGTTTCCACCCACCACCACGTGGGTCCCAGGGACTGAACTCTAGTTCTCAGAGTTGGCAGCCAGCATCTTGACCTGTAGTGCCCCTTCAACGGATGGTTAATCATTGATGTTTCTGAGACAGGGTTTGGCTGTCATAGTCCACGATGGTCTTGAACTTGTAGCTATCCCCCTGCTGCAGCCTGACTTTTAAATCCTGTTTAGAAAGTTGTCTAAGAATGTTCTTAGTCAGGCTCTCATTCTGGCAACAACCTTGCACTTCCCCAGAATGTGTCTTAACCAGCCTATGTGTCGGTAACCCTGAGTCACGCTGCTAGAAGCCGCTCCAGTCGTCTTGTCTCTACCTGCAGAGGTTTAAAGCCTAAAGTTCAAGAAAGTTCTGCGCTCTTCCAGAGACCTGCCCCAAGTTGCTCCCACGAAATCTTTCGTTCCTTCCACTGGCTTCCTTTCAATGCAACTTCTGCAACTGAGTGCGCTCCTTTTAGAAGCAAGGGGTAAACGACCGTAGAGGGTTGGAGGTCACTTGGCACGGGGAAAGGGGCGCATTAAAGCGGGTTGCAGGGTTCAGGGGGGAAACAAAAGCAAAATAAAATAAGAGTGACTTCCCAAGGCTGCTACACGCGATGGGCGTGGTCCTGGCTCCGCCACAGGTCTCTCAGCTACAGACGTTTGCCAGGCGGTGCGGCTGCGCCAACTCTGGCTCCTCCCCCCAGGCCCGGAGTCTTAAGCCCCGCCTCGCCATCGCGGCCCAGGAGCGCAGGCCTGCACTGGGTAGTTTAACATGGGTACCTCCAGCTCCTCCGCTCTGGCGCGCCTCGGCCTCCCGGGCCAGCCGCGGTCCACCTGGATCGGCGTCGCCGCGCTGGGACTGGCCGCGGTGGCGCTGGGGACCGTGGCCTGGCGTCGCGTGCGTCCCCGGCGGCGCCGGAAGCTGCAGCAGGTGGGAACGGTGTCTAAGGTCTGGATGTACCCGATCAAGTCCTGCAAGGGGGTGTCGGTGAGCGAGACCGAGTGCACCGAAATGGGGCTGCGCTGCGGCAAAGTGCGCGACAGGTACGAGATAGGCATGGGCGAGGGAGATGGGGCCTTGCCTGTCCCGGCTTGGAAGTGTGAGACCTGGATCCGGGCGCCCCTCGGTGGGTGCAAACTTTGTGAGCCCAAGCATGGTGAAATTCGAGAGGGGCTTCCGCACTGCAAGCCGCGTTCTTCCCAAACCAAGAAACAAGGGTTTATTAAGTCTGGCAAACACATGGGAAGGAACTGTCACCCAGCTGTAACACCAGGCACGTATGTGAGCATGTTTAAGTTGAAACTGTAGTTTGTAAGTTCAAAAATGAAAGTGGGAAGGCCTTCTGGGAGGAGAATTCTGGCTTTACAATATGTGAATTTACTCCAGAGTGGAGCAGAGCGCTGCGATTTTTGTCTCCTGCCCCTTCCAGTACAGGAGATTGCTCAGCTATCAAGAGAACCGCGGTGGTTTGCTGCCAGAATTCCCTGGGCTCTCGACTTTTGATCCTTTAGCTACAAGGCTTCTTTCTGGCTAAGGTAGTTTCCTAAAAGTGGATTGGGGCAATGCTGGACCCCTGGATTAGAGACTCCTCTGTCACATGACCAACCCGGGTGCTATGCGACTGTCCTAACTGTAGGATACTAAAAATGTTTTCAAGAATATTGGGTCCTTCCTTCCCTCTCATTCTGGCGACCACTTTAATGATTAAGGAGCCAAATTACATGGTTTATGAGGTGAGGGAAGAGGGGAGCAGATGGGTTACTATGAGGGTCAAGGAGCTAGTCACAAACCGGGGTGTAAAATAATCGTAAAGGAGGTTAGAATGAAGAAAAGCAAAGACAGTTTGTCCTGGTACAGAACAAATATTTAGATCAAGAAATAGGCTCAGCCAGACTGGGTGAGAGTTCTGCTGAAAGAGGGCCAGCCTGGGCTTGTATCAAGTCCAGCTGCTTGGACTAAGGGTGAACCTTTGGACTGCCTAGGTCAAGAGGCAAAACTGAGCACTTAGATGATTCTCAGACCTTGAAAGGTATTGTTAGGTTAGGAAAGTTGTTTCCTGGGGCAGATTCAGGTCACAGGTATCCTGAAGGTGGTGCACACTACCCACCTGCAACTCATTTTCCTCATCCCACAACCGGTTTGATTTTCATGTTATCAAAGGGAATGCCTGTACCGTCTCTTACAGGTGGGTGATCTGCACCAGGCCGAGTGCACAGATTTCATTCTTATAATTAGGATGTCTTCTTCTATGACGGACATGGTGGTTGTACTCCCATATCTGGGCAGAGGAGGAAGTTTGCAAATTGGTCATTTGAGGGAGCCCATAGCAGAGGTCTTCTGCTGCCCAGTGTTCATCCGAGGACACCTGTGTGTACTGTCCTAAAGAACCAGAAGATGTTATCTGAGTGTCTTGCATGTGGGCTTTGTCCACACTGCAGGATCAGGAGTTCAGGGTCATTCCCAGGTCCACAGATACCAAGGCCGGCCTGGGCTGCATGAAAACTTGTCTGTATGCTGAAACAAAAGAAAATGCTATCATTTCCTGAAAGTCCCATTCCGGTCCAAATGAACTCAAATCTCTAAAAGACAACTTTTGTAGCATGTTGAAGTCTTCCCCGGGTGGTTGGTCTGCTGTAATCAAAGGGTTTTACAGAGATCATTGTGAAGGGGAGGATGTTGAAGTGTTAAGGATAAGAACTGCTTGAGGCTGGAAAGACCTTGGTACTGGATATTGTCCAACATGGGCAGGTGCCGAAGCTCAGAGTGCTGACCTGAGCAGACTGATGCCGGGCTGCTTTCCTTCCCATTTAAGAACTTGAGGATTCTCACAGGTAACCACTACAACCTGTGATTCTCAGATCATCAGAGGATGTTGTGTTCATCCTTACGATTCTCATGGCTTTCTGGTAAATACTGCTAGGGTAGAGAGGAAATGTGCCCTTTGCCCCTCCCTGCCTTTCTGCTTCCAGAGGAGTCAATAAAATAAAGAAATCTGTATTGTTTCTCTTGTTTTGAACAATAAATTCCTTCCTCCCCCCTTTCTCTCTTTCTTCCTTGCCTTCCTTTCTTCCCTCCTTCTATTCTTTCTTTTCCAGAGGATCTCACTAATGTAGCTGTGGCTGGCCTGAATTTGCTGTGTAGACAAGGTTGGCCTTGAACTCACAAGAGATACACCTGCCTCTGTTTCCTAAGTGCTGGCTTGGGATTCCAGGTTTTCACCATGCTTAGCACAAGCAATACATTCTTAAGATGACATGGTCTGGGATGGAGGGAAAGTCAGTGAAATGAGGGATTCATTGACATTGGGCTAAATCCGTCAGTTAGCCCATGGAAGGTTGATTTTGTGGGCTGGGTATGAATGTCTCCATCTCTTAGACCTTAGAAGCCAGTATTAGACAGGATAACATGTCACCTGGGATCACAAACCCAGTCTGTTGTGGGGGTTTTGAATTCAGATCTCCGTGACTACAGCACTCATTGTTTCAATGATACTAGTATGTGATACAGGAATGTAAGAGGTGCTTAGGAGCAGGAGGCCCTGAACAAAGGCATTTAACCTCTCTGAGCCTCAGTTTTGTTGAATTGAACTTTATTTATCAAAGGGTGATGATATTAGAAGCTTGGGGGCCAGAACTCAGCTTAATGACTGTTGTTTTCTGCCCCTGAGAGTAGCACAGATACTAGTATTTCTGGAGGGCTAGGAAAGAGCCCCTTTGTTTAATTTGTGTCTGTTTTTTCCTCTGTACTGCCCAGTGCCTCTAAGTACTGGAGTGTTCTCAGCCCATTTGAGCTTGACCTTGTCCCAGCTCCCTGAGCTGTGAGGTGTCCAAGGTTCTCCCAGAAGATGCTAACATAGGCTGTCTACTTCGGGAGTAGCTTCCTTCCTTCACCTTGTAAATGTCCTTAAGCACCAACCATGACTCCATCACCTTCTCTGTCCAGATCCTTCCTTAAAGTCAACTGTTTCTTCTGCCCAAATTTATCATCTACTGATAAAGGGGACCCCTGCCCCCGACCCTGTGCTGATTCCTCTTCTCATCTCCCATCTTTCCCCTTCCATTTCCTCTTTCAGGCTTAGTCCATCCTGCTCCCACCCTCTTTCACCCCAACCCTTCTCTCACTCCAGTTTTTAACTGGAATGAGAGTTTTTCATTTGCCCTGGGCTCAGCCTCACTGTTACATTGGTCATTCAAGGCCTGGTTGTTTTCTGTGGGATTCTGAGCTCTGGGCTGTGACACTGGTCCATCTGCACCTGCTTGTGCTTTGCTGTAAAATCAGGTTGCTGACTCTTACTGCAGCTCAAATTGGGTAACTTGATTATGAAAACCTGCTCTCTGGTCTCATCCTTTCTCTGAGACTTGGCAGAACACCGCTGATCATTTGTTCATGGGGAATTATTTATGTGCACAAGATTTAAAAAAAAAAAAAATGCCTGAAGGGTGACAGGATAATGGGGTGATTGAGGTTTGTTATGTGGCAGCTGTCTTAGTTAATTGTTCTTATTGTTGAGACAAAATACCTGACAAGAAATAAATTAGGAAAGAAGGGTTTGCAGCAGGATGGTGAGGAGCAGGGGGAAAGAAGGCCCTTCTTTCAGCTAGCTTCATCCCTGCCCATGGGATGATACCATCCATTCTGGGCGAGACTTTGCACCTCAGTTAATTTAGGTGTTTCCTCAGGTAGGCCCAGAGGCAATTCAAGATCCTGTCAAGTTGACAGTATCAACAACCATTATAGTAACCTTTTAACCATTTATCAGTTTTTGCGAAGTCCCAAGGTTGAATTCTCTTGCAGTTAGTTACTTTGCCCTCTCAGATGCAGCAATTAGCAGGATTCCACTGAGCACCCCATCCACTTTTAACATCAGCATTTAGTTCCCATGTCATTCATTACACAGTGGCTTGGGCTAAAGCAGAGGGGTGCAAGCTTTGAGAGGGGCTATTTTGGGTGGGTGGGAGCTGAGAAGATTTAGTTTAGAAAACTAAATCATGATCTATTTCGGTTTAATAAATATCAGGATAAACAAATAGGCCGAATAATGTTTATTCAGGGAGAAATAACTTACAACCTAGACAGATGAACACCAGCAAGTTCCACCGGATCCTTATCCTGCCAGCAAGAGAGTGTTCCGGCCCCTCCTCAGACCTCCTTCCACAGGTCACTTCCACCCCTGGCTCCACCCCCCAATGGGCGTCGTCAATGCCACAGAAGGAGACAAAGTGAATATCCCACTACAATTCCCCTTTTAGTCTAAAGAAAAGATTTAGGCTTGATACAAAATTATGTACAAAACAGTGAATAACAAGTGTGCTCTAAGAAAAGAAAATCGAGAACAAAACTACCTACATATCTAGTCCTAGGGTGAAGGCATAACAGAGTTTACAATAGAGTTGTCCTAAGCTGGAAAACTTAAGTCTGGTACCTAATATATCTAAGAAGAGAGAATAATATTTGTGATAGTTTAATCTTCAACCTCATCAAGACCTGAGAAGGAAATTAACAATACTAGGGTAGACAGGAAATGCGGATGGACAACTTCCAAAAGGTGCAGCGAGAACAGAAACAGCAAGCCACCTGGACAGTCACCCAAGGTCTCACAGCAACATTGGTACACCCAGTTTTGGCTAAGGCCAAGAGAACTTGACAGACCACAACAACAGCAGGGAGGTAGAAAGGCTGTCTGACCCTGACTTGGCAAGGTTTAACAGTCTTCTATATTTGTCTCCTGCACGCACATAGGACTGCATGTCCAAATCAGTGGTCAAGGTGGGGGCAGTTCTTTGACCAAGAGGCCATTTGCTGAGGCGAGAATGGACTCCAGCAGGAGCAACAACAGTGTCCAACATATTTTTGGGAAAGTGCATGGTGCTGTCAGGAGCGACAGTGTCTCATGTCAACGGAGTACTAATATTAAAACATTTAAATGTCATGTTCTGCATGTCTATGAAGTGATTGAAGATTAAGCATCTATGTCTGACTAATCTCATAGGTACAGGAAACACGAGTGAAGATAATCTGTAATACTCAGGAACTTAGCTAAAAAAAAACTGATTAAAACTTCCCCAAATAAAGCAGGAGCAAATACCTAAACAATATAACTATGTACATATACATACATATAAATCCCTAAAATAGAGGTAGAGTAGAAATGTCTAGACAAGAGGTAGAACTATAAAGGGCAGCATGTTAAATATCCCCAATTGTATCAATATACAAATGTCTTGAATACAAGAAAAGTATACATACATAGAATATGGCAAGAATAAATGTGCATAAATTGTATCAGTATATGAAATGTCTTGAACATAAGTAAAAGTATACATACATAGAATATGTTAAGAATAATGTGCATAAAACATAAGTGGAAAGATTTCACACAATATAACAAAATATAAACTTAATTTTACATAGCTCACTACAAATAAGAATATATACCAATGTAAGCTGTAAAATACTATTATCTCAATTTTACTCAAATTCACAAGAAAATAGGCTAATCTACCTATATCCCATTTAAACCATACCTTTCCCAACCATACCCTATTCCTGTCTGAAAAATAAACCCGAGTGTAAGCATCACCTTCCATACCCGACCCTAAGTAACTAAAACCAACTCAAAGAAGATGAATGTTATCCCCAAATTCCATTATTTTAAGGTTACTTCCTGCTGAAATGGGATGATGATTGCTCCATGGGATCCTGTAGGAAGAAAATTTTTAGCAACCAAATTTCTCAACAGAACTGGCTGTGACTATGTACCTAGTCACTGTGTGGCAGAAAATGCTTGACTGTAGTTCTATTTGAAACTCTGGCCAGGGTGTAATAAGAAGGTGCACCATTACAGCTAGCTAGTTATGAGTTGTCTTGAGCAAAACAGTCTCAAACCGGTTTTAGGGTGATGTTTGTAGTCCAGATGCATCAGGTTGAGTCAAGTGGCTATGATGACGTGTGGGGCCCCATCTTCTTTCCGGAGAGTTGATGTGAGAGATGATATGTCTGTTTGAGTACATCTAGATCTTGCCTGGGGATGGGGCATGCTGGGAGTTTCTAGGAAGTCTAGGAACACACATTGGCATCTGATGAGGGCTTCTTGCTGCATCCTAAGGTAGCAAAGGGCATCACATGGGTGCTAGAGGTAGCTCCTTTTGGAGAAAATAACTCTTACGCTAGAAGGATCTGGGCAGACCTGCACCATCTGCCATCAGCTGTCACACCAGGATGGGTGGGTGGTTCTGAGGTGAGAGAGAGCTAAAGGAAGCTTTTGAGGATTGGGGGAGAATTTCTGAGTGTGTACCTGTCTGTGTCTACAGGTTTTGGATGGTGGTTAAGGAAGATGGACACATGATCACTGCCCGCCAAGAGCCTCGCCTTGTGCTGGTCTCCATCACCTTGGAGAACAACTATCTGACCCTCGAAGCTCCAGGCATGGACCAGATGATTTTGCCTATCAAGCTGCCTTCTTCGAATAAGATCCACGACTGCAGGTGCTCTGCTTGGGTGCAGTGGGGAAACAGTGGCAAACCTGATTTCTCCTTGCATTTATTACAGTTTGTGTCAGAACTGTAGATGATGATACCCATGGAGGAAAATACCGAAGAGGGGATAGCCTATAGGGTGGGATTTGACTGTGAGTGACTGTTAAGGGTACCCAGTCTTAGCTTTTATCTGTCTGCCTGCCTGCCTGCCTGCCTGCCTGCCTACCTACCTATCCAATCATTATTTTACTTTGGAGATAGAGTTCTAACATCCCAGGTTGACCTTTGATTTGTTATCTAACCAAGAATGACTTTGAACTTTTGACCATTGTGCCTTTACCTCCTGAATGCTGGGATCACAGCTTGTACCACCAAGGCTCAGTTTGTGTGGTGCTGGGGATTGAACCCTGAGCTTTGTGTGTGCCAAACCAAGCTACAAACCAAGCTACAGCCTCAGCCTTGGAATTGGCTTTAAGCAGGGACAGTAAGAGTTGGAGATGATGAAATAAATGACTGACACGCAGGAAAAACTATCACATTGATGGGTTCCTAGAAGTAGGTAGAGCTAACAGAGGGAAGCTTTGGATCTGGCCAGAGGCAACTTCAGGAAGGGGAAATCCCAGCCTGGAGACTTTGCTTGGGCTTCTCTGCAGAAAAGAGAAAAAGCAAGGGTTAGTTAGGCAGGGTTCAGGTTAGAATAATAATAAGCAGCTATGTGGCTTATAGCCCTGACACCTGCTCCCTGTAGGTAAGGACTCAATACAGAATGGTTTGCAAGTCATGTTTGCACATGACAAGACTATTGTCTCTAGGAATACATCTCTAGCTGGCCGTATGTGTAGCTGTCCTTTCTCCAAGGCCTCCAAGACAGCAAAGCAGAAAGTGTAGTTGACTCAAGTGTAAAGAGGGTTATTTAATAACGTGCAAAGGTGTGGGTGTGGGGGGTCTTTCCTTTCCTTCTATCATGTGGGTTCTAGGGATCATATCCAGGGCTTCAGGCGTGACAGCAAGTGCCTTACCCACTGAGCCAGCTCCCTGGCCCCTGGAGAGACATTGTTTAGAGTTCTTGGCCACCATCCAGACAAGAGAAGTTACTGGAGACTTTACCTGTTGATATCAGAGCTGGATAACAAGCATGCTGGAACTTCCTAGCCTCTGAGTGTGCTGCTGAGATTGGGGACTTAGGGCAGGGGTTATGTGTATGAGCAGGAGTGAGGCCCCAGGCCTTGACATCTGTTTGTATGTGGGTCCTCTCTCGATGACCCATGGCCTGCTGGCTCTTGTTGGAATTTCGTGTGTGTGTGTGTGTGTGTGTGTGTGTGTGTGTGTGTGTGTGTGTGTGTGTGTGACTGAGAATAAAGGAAGGCCTTGCTCTTTGATGTTGGGAAATCACAGAAACTCAGGTGTTTGCTGAGGGATGATGCAATGTTGTGGACCCTTTGGTAACTAGGTGAGTGCTAGGGTTAGGACTAGGGCTCTGTGCAGACTAAGTGAGCTCTTTACCCTTGAGCTGTGCACTCAGCCTTCAGCCAAGCCTCCCCTCCCCCATCCCAAGGCAGAGTCTCACTGTGCATCTCTGGCTGGCTTGGAACTCTGTAGACCAGGCTGGCCTCAAACAGATCTCACAGAGATCCACCTGCCTCTACTTCTTGAGTGCTGGGATTAACAATTTACGGTATCATGCCCCAGCCTAGCTATTCAAGCATGTGGAAACAGGCACAATCCAAAGGTACCTGAGCTCATAGAAGAGTCTTGTATTCTGAGTGTCAGAGTGGAAATGCATCCTTCATGCTTCCTAACTCACCAAACTAGAGCAAGGCCTTGCCAAATGCAGTATTTTGGAAAACAGTCCCACCCCACCCCACCCCTCCCCACCCCACACCCACAGAGAGGTGGGGGAGGGGTGGAGAGAGAGGGAGAGAGCAGGTAATTGAGCTGCTGGATTAACTGTGCTGTGCAGAGAGGGGAAACACTTTCCACCCATGACAGGTTTTGAAGAGGAAAATCAGCATATCACTTATATTGCTGTTGAAAGCTTATGGGCATGTGCTTGCTTATGGAGAGTGATGGGTGTGTTTATTCCTGGGGGTGGGACCAACTCACTGTTACCCACAGCAAATTTTCTCCTCAAGGGTTTTCACTTGCCCATACAGAGGGCTCTAGGGAGGCTCAGACTCTCCAGGGAAGCCAAGGGGGATAGAAGAGACCTTGAGGGAAGGAGATCCTGTGGAGCTCAGAGGACGGCTTGAGGGGGTCATTTCTCTCCTTCCACCGTGTAGATCCCAGGGATTGAACTCAGGTTGTCAGGCTTGGTGGCAAGCACCTTTACCCACTGAGCCATCTCTTCTGACCAGGGTTAAAGTGTGTAGGGCAAGTATAGAGCAGTAGTGTTCCCTGAAGATCACAGATTTCTGAGGGGTTATTGTCTGAAAATACCATGCAAAAGTGGATGTGGTGACACATGCTTGCATTCCCAGTACCTGGGAAGTGAACTATGAGTTCAAGACTAGCCTGGCCTACATGATGACACTGTTTAAAAAAAAAAGGGGGGGGGTGGATGGAGCCTGCGGCTAGCCTTTTAAAGGAGGAGGGAGAAAGACTTCAGTCTTTGGGGATTAGCTTCAAAGGCTAGCTAAGCAATGTTTTATTTTAACTTGAAATTTAAGTACAGCTAAGTCAGGTACATAACAATTGGTTGTCTTCTTAAACGTAGTTAAGGTTCTCTTCCCTCCCCCCCCCAAATAAAGAGGAAAGAAAAATGACATTGGCCCCAGACAGTCCAATCCAGTTATTTCTTTGTAATTGAAAAGGGAAAACAAAACAAGGTCACATGGGACAGGAAAGAAAGTGGGTAGTTTGCATCAGTGGCCAGGATACTTCAGCTGGCCTCCGAATGTTTGGCTATTTTCTCCAGCGCATGCCAGCTGGTGTCTCACAATCCAGGTCTAACACCATCTACCTGGAGATAGCCTCAGATCCCACAGAGTAACTCTTGAGACTGCCTCCCATGTCTGACGCTAGTAGCCTGAGACAGTCGCTATGCTAGCTAGAGCTAGTGGCTTGCTAGTAGTGGCTAGCCTGAGCCACATCCCTAGCCCTAGCCCAAGCCTCTGGCCCACCAACTATGACTTGACTCCACAGCCTCTTTCTTGGGGTCAAGTCTTCAGAATGCCTCACAGAATTCAGGAAACCTGTTTGCCAGTTACTTGCAAAGGGTACTCCAAGGCTAAGGAGGAGGAGGCAGGTGAAGAGATGGGTCAGGGAAGGTGTGGGGAGTGGAACTCCTATGTGCTTTCTGAGTGTGCTGCCCTCTAGGTACCATGCTCTGTCCCAGCCAGAAAATGGTCTGTGATAGCCATACTGTAGGTTTTGAATGAGTGAGTTTGCTAAAACGTATGTCAAGCCAGAGACAGGCAGACAGACAATAGCAAAACATTATCATCAAATCGGGTTCTCCATACATCCAGCAGAAATCGACTCAAGAAGCCCCTTTAAGACAGACAGCTGGAGTTCCCAATAGAGAGCAGAGCTTCCCCCAGGTGAAGCTTCTGAGTAAAAAATCAAATAGCAACAGGCAGAGATGTCATCTAATGGGGTCATCTGATATCCAGCAGAGACCTCTGGGGAAGTTGAGGCAGTCAGCTGGAGTTCCCAATTGAGCGTTTTTCACTGTGGCCGAACTTTGGCCTTCTCTTTCCCATTGCCTGAACTTTTATATTACAAGATAAACAATAGTGACAGTTGTTGGAAATGGTTTATCTTAAGGTATTTTGAAGGCACAGTGTTTTCACTCTCAGGCTGTTTGATCCTTCCTGCCGTAGAGGAAAGGGGCAACCCATCCCTGGAGAGGGCCTCTGGGCACTCTGAGACACACATGCTCTGGTCCGAAATGGACAAGGAGGGCCAACCCCCTCCAGAGCCAGCTTCACAGTGAGCTCAAGCAACACTGTGCTAAGCAATCTGGAAGCTCGCTGAACCCAGCCCTTTGGGCTTTTATTACATAGGTGTGATTGATAAAAATAATTAGCTATTGATCGGCTCAATCCTCAGCTTCTGCCCACTCCTCTGAGGTCAGGGGTGGGGATAGTGAGGGTGGTACTAAGTCCAGATCTCTGATCTTGGAGGGCGATCCCCTGGCAATCAGTTCCTGAGGGAGTTGGTTCCTGGGGCCTGGGAATTGAACTTCAGGCATGGTGGCAGTTATCTGTACCGTTTGAGTCATCTTGCTAGTCCCATGCTTACCTTTTAATGGAAGAGGAAGGAAGAAATAACCTTTGGTCTAACAAAAAGCCTTTGAGGCCTGGCTTTAAGACTAGCTAAGCTATAAAAATAAATAACTAAATAGATAGATAGATAGATAAAATTAAAATAAAAAAGATTAAAAAAACTGACATTTGATTTTTACATGTAATTTGACATATATGTATATGTAGGCATAATTTAGTTACATATACAAGTGACAGTTGTCCTTCTTGTTAACCATGTCAATTTTTTTTTCCTAAAAATAAAAACCAAAAGGAAATAATGGCTTTGACCTTGCCAAAGACCAACAGAAGTTTTATTTCTTTGTAACTGAAGAGAAACCAACCCCTCCCCCCAAAAAAGTAAGATAGGTAAATGTCTTAGTTATTTTTCTGTTGTTATGAAGAGATAACATGACCAAAGCAACTTATAAAAGAAAGTATTTAATTGGGGGATTACAGTTTCAGAGGTTGAGTCTGTCATGGCAGGATCATGGCAGTGGGCAGGCTTGGTGCTTGAGCAGTAGCTGTTTCAGCAGGTAGGCGGTGTGGGGCAGGGGTCCGAGCTAAACGAGAATGGTGCAGGCTTTTGAAGCCTTAAAGCCTACACCCCCAGTGACACACCTTTTCCAACAAGGCCACACCTCCTAGTTCTTCCCAAACCGTTCCATTAACTGGGGACCATGTACTCAAACGTAGCAGCCTGTGGATGCTATTCTCATTCAAACCACCAAGGAAGGGCAGAGGCATGGTTTCGTTCCTGGCCACAGAGTGTGTCACCTCTGGTCCCTGCATCAGCAAACCTCCTCCAGCACACACCAGCTGGCATCCAACACTGTGGTCCTGACTCAATCGATAGCGTCAGCTCTCACTGGTTAAGGACTTGTTCCTGGCTTCAGGCACCATGAGGGCGGCAGCCTGACTGACTTACCACCCCCTCCTTGGGTTCTGTTCATTTGCTGGAGTGCCTGTTGGGAGTCGGGAATTGTGTGTGCTAAAGGCTGAGGATGAGTTGAATGGCACTCTCGTGTGCTTTCTGGGTGTGCCTTTCTCTACATACCTCTAGTGTTGAGCAGTTGGAAAACTCTCTGAACATCGACTTTGGTGTTCATGGAAACTATTACACAGTATGTGTGATAAAATTATCAGCTATTGATTGACGTAACTTTCAGCCTCTGCCCCTTCCTTGTCAGTCAGGGACTGAGGTACTAGAGTCCAGCATTCTGATCTTGGGGTTGGCTCCCCTGGCCTCAGGCAGCTTAGGAGCCCCAGCTGTCAGTGACCCTGTAACACACAACTGTCCTTCAGCTTCCTACCATTGGCCTCTGTGTGGACTGTTTTCCCAACAGTGTGGCTTCCAGTCTGTGGTAACCTGTGTGTTCATTCTTTTGTTCATGTTCATAAAAACTGTTCATTGTTCTACTCTAATATAAACACTACTCTGTGAGTATTCTTTAAGGTTTATGTTTATTAGTTTTGATGTGTGTGTATCTGTGTGAGTCTGGTGCAGGTGCCCTCAGAGAGTATAGACTCCTATGTGCATCTGATTCTCTGGAGCTGGAGTTTCAGGCCATGGCGGGTTTCTTGACCATGCTCCAGGAGAGCAGTGAGCCTTCTTAACCACTGAGTCATCTCCAGCCCCCTGCAGATAGTCTCACGTGTGTCTTCTGAGAGCACATGTGCAAAGTGTGGATGTCAGAAGACAACTTGGGTGAGGTCAGTTTCCTTCTTCTACCAGGTAGGATCCCAGGGATTGAACTCAGGTTGTAAAACTTGGCAGCAAACCCCTTTACCTGCTGAGCTGCCAGCTCCAAGGTATGGATTTTAAGTATAGGCTACCTGGATCAGTAGATGCATAGTATTTATTTACTTACTTACTTGTTTATTTAGAGACAATCTTGCTGTGTAACTCAGGCTGGCCCAGAATTCTCTTTGTAGCCCAGGCTGGCCCAAACTCTTAAATCTCCTGCCTCTGACTCCCCAGTGTTTAGGTTATAGGTAAATACAAAACAGGAGGCACTAGACATGCCGAACTGTTTTCTGAAGTGAGTGAGCGGATTTGTACCTCCTCAGAGTGGGGTCCATTGACACTGGGGTTAGTTCTTCCCAGTAGGCACAGGCCTGGTAGAGGAATGCCTGCTATCAGTTGGAAGGACACTGGTTGATGGGCATCCTCTTGCCTGTTGGGTGCTTTCTACTTTTCCGAGAGCCAGCACCAGTCTCCTGTGTGGGGTTGGATGGTATGGGGTAGAAGTGTGTGCAGTTGCATACGGGTGGTATTCTGAAGGAGCTATCGGACACTCTTGGTGCTTCTCAGCAGTGTATAGGATCTGTTCTGAGTAGTAGAGTGGTGGACTGCAGTTTTAGGAGAATGGTGGAAGGCCAGTCAAGGACCAAGAGGGACCCACAGATCCAAACAGTGTTCTGAGAAGGGTTTCAGATAGAAGGAACAGGCCCTTGTAGGGGCCTTAACGGGGGGGGGGGGGTGTCAGGATTTGACATCGCAGGGTGTGGTAGTAATGTTTCTGATTCCAGTCTGGGAGGTAGAGGTTTTGAGCCTTCAAGGGCCCAGAGGTTCACCTGTTAATAAATATTCTGGGAGTTTATGTTGAGCTCCTTTGCACACATCACCTTAGGCATCCTCACACTGGTACAGGCACAGCATTCACACAGGCTGTGTGTGTGCACTTCTTGTGTGTGTGTTTCGTATGGTGTGTATCTGTGTGTACACTTCTCATAGTGTGAGAGGGCAGGGGAAACTTTCAAGCAATCAATTTTCAGATTTCAAATCCATAGTTGTTACTAGAGTGCCCACTGCCCCCGCCTTAGTCAGGGTTTCTATTGCTGTGAAGAGATACCACGTCCACAACAACTCTTATAAGGAAAACATTTAAGTCAGGGTGGGAGGGTTACAGTCCATTATCATCATGGTGGGGAGCATGGCAGTGTGCAAGCAGATATGGTGCTGGATACATGTTGATCAGAAGGCAACAGGAAGTGTCTGTCACACCAAGGGAAGCTCCTGCAAAAGAGACCTCAGAGCCCACCCCCACAGTGACACACTTCCTACTTCAACAAGGCCACACCTCCTAATACTGAATACTGTCTCTTCCTTTGTGGGCCATCCATTTTCTTTCAAATCATAACCCCATATTGTCATGCTGGGAGTGGAACCCAGGGCCTTTTGTATGCTAAGTAGGTACTCTACCAGTGAGCTAGCCAGGCATCATTTCTTGGTTTTGTTTAAAAATGGAGCTTTATTCTGTTTCCTTTTGCAGCACATATACTGAAATTGGAATGATATAGAGTCAATTAGCGTGGCCCCTGTGCAAAGATGACATACAAATAAATATAAAAATAAACAAATAGATATTAAAAATTCAAAAGTACCTGGGTGTGTTGCTATGTGCCTTTAATCTCAGGAGGGAAAGGCATTGGACCTCTTGAGACTACCCTAGTCTACACAGCATGTTCGTGTCCAGCCAAGGCCACACAGTGTGACCGTATCTCAATCCCCTTCTCTCAAAATATCAACAAATAGGGTTTTGCTGTAAAGTTTAGGCTGTCCTTGAACTCCTGCCTCAGCCTGTGAAGTTCTGGAGTTTGAGGTGTATACATACCATCTTTGCCAGCCTCTTGTCCTCAGGTTTATTAAAGGCAGGAAGGAAACTTGCCTGGTGATTCACTAGGGAGGCGGGACCAGGAGCACTGTGAGTTTGGAGCCAAGTTGGCAACACTGTGAAATCCTTACCACTTGGCTACACTGTGAGGCCTTGCTTGGAGTTGGGGGATTGATACTAAACCTTGTCTAGAATTAAGTAAGATTCATGTATATTCTTAGGAATAAATTAATTTCAACTAAAGTCTGAACTTTATGTTTAGAGATCATCAAAATTGACAGCATACCCATTTTATTATGATCCATTTCTTACAAATCAAGATCGTAAATACAACTTAATGTCTCCCAAATTCTTTCACATATGGATCCTGAAGAAACAAGATTATATTGGGTCAAAGGGAATATTATAAGAGATCAGTAGTCATGTATCAGTATGAAATTATGTGAGAGAAGTGGAATGTTCGTATGTGCTCAAGAATAAAGAGGTGAACTATCCAAAACTTTGGATCATTTGTCCGACATGGTGGAAGGTGGTTCAAGGGTAACCTCTACTACATAGCAAGTTCAAGGCCAGCCTGGGCTTCCAGTGACCATGCTTCAAAAACAGCAACAATAACAATAGTTGCTCTATTTAGAGAAAAATCTTATTTGTTTATTGTAAAAATGGATAATAGTGGATATCAAATTGATAGCTTTTTAGTTCACTGGGAAAAAATCGAGTATAGTCTCATTTTAAATGTCGATGTATTTAATTCAAGGAAATTATGTGTTTCACAAGTTAGATTGAAATATTTACATATCAATCTATAAGCTCTGTGAAGGACACACAATCTTAACAACTAATGTAGAGAAGTCAATTGAAACCAAACCAGGAACACAGCAGAGATCACAGTGTGATTTGACATCTGTGTCCCTACGTCCCCAGTGGGTAGGTATAATGTGTTCGTCTCTAGTTTATAGCTGGAGACAGAAAGGGAGGCAGGTGTTAAGTTTACTTAAGGCCAACAGACCAAGGGAATGACTGTTTCCAGGTCTGAGAATTCCGAGCCAAAGGTACACCTGCCTCAGGCAGCCCCAGCCCGTCTTCTGAAAGAAACCGGAATCCTTGGTATTCATAATGGAACAGGGACTTGGCCACTTAGGTGGCTGGAAGCATATCAGAAATGCACTGTTCCAGATTCCAACTCCAACCCACTGGCCCAGAGTCTGCATCTGAACAAGATGATTTGTAGACATAAGAGCTGGGGAGCTAGTCCCCAGTGCATGTCCTGGATTCTCTCCTGTTCTTTCCTAGCTCCCCTCTGAAGACCTCTTAGCAGCCTTCTGGTAGAGTCAGGCTACCATCACTCAGTGTGTCAGTGCAAGTAATCTGGTGTTACAACCCTTCCAGGCTATTTGGTCTCGACATTAAAGGCAGAGACTGTGGCGATGAGGTAGCTCAGTGGTTCACCAACTACCTGAAGACTCAACCCTACAGGTTGGTTCAATTTGATACCAGCATGAAAGGAAGAACAACAAAGAAACTTTACCCTTCTGAAAGTTACCTTCAGAATTACGAGGTGAGCGTGCGGTCTTCCTTCATTCTGCCAGTTGCTCTGGGCCCTCTGTGTTTCCTTCTCTGTCCATAGAGCCCCTTGGCATGGTTCAGGAGAGTAGTCCAGGGTGCAACCTACACATTAAGGATGGAGAGGGACTTGAGATGAGGGTTGTCTCAAGGCTGGGACTTCTGAGGTACATAGAGGATTAAGGCTGGGAGATGTGTGGAGGGAGGAGCCAGGAGTGACTTCTGGGGAGGTGGGGCCTCAGGAGGAGACTGTCTGGAAGCTGAGTGTGGTGGCTTATACCCATAATCCCAGCATTCAGCATTCTATAGGAGGATTGCTGTGAATTCAAGGCCAACCCAGGCTACAGGTGAGACCGTGTCCCAGTCAAAAAAGAAATGAAGCCTGGCTGCAAGTGAAAGTGAAATTCTGGGACTAAATGTGCCTTTCCTGATGCACGCACAGAGACTTTCTCCAGGCCATGTTCACTGCCTGAGTGTGTGACAGCTGTGTCATAGGACAGGAAGGCAGTTCCTGCCAGGGAAAGCTATAGTGAGCCACGGGTTAAGATGCAAGTATTTAGGGATTCCTCTCCAAAGCCAGGTTTATTTATTATTGTTAATGTTATTAGTGATAATATTATTTCTTTGCTTTGTTACTAATCTTCCTCACCTAAAACAGTGCCAAGCATCTACTGGTTCAGATCAATAGGATTTGAGCAAATGATTGGTATTGATGGAATTATTACTAGAATGTACTGTATTGGCAGCAGACTCCTTCCTGTGTGAGGAGAAAATAGAGCAGGCTGCCAAACAGCCCACTGGTATAGTGGAGATACACACCTCTAATCCAGTCATTCCTGCGGGAGAGGCAGGAATGTCTGTGAGTTCAAGCACAGCCTGGTCTACCTGGTAAATTCCAGGACATCCAGGACTACCTAGTCCCTTTCTCAAAAATTACATAAATAATTTGCTAAAATAACAAGAGCCAGTCCAAGCTGCTGCCTTGTCTGTGCTGTGGACAGAAGCTGGGTTTCGGTGCTCACATCTTGTCTATGAACCCCCCCCCCCCAGGATGTAGCTCTCCCCTTCTGCACTTGAGAGGTTTTCTATCTGGACTCTGCTGAGCTTTGGTTGGGAGGCCTGACTGCTGTGTCCTGTAACAGGTAGCCTACCCAGACTGCAGCCCTATCCACTTGATCTCTGAAGCCTCCTTAGCCGATCTCAACACCAGGCTGAAGAAGAAAGTCAAGATGGAATACTTCAGGCCAAACATCATGGTGTCGGGCTGCGAGGCTTTTGAGGAGGTAAGGGGCCACTGATGCAGGCAGCAAACTCAGGTGTGCTGTCCCCAGAGCTGGCGAATATGAAGTCCGGGGCAGTGACCCAGATTCCCCCAAGGCTGGTGGTGGGGTGACTCCTTCCCCCAGATTGTCTGGTCTCTATGGCTGCTACTGGCCTGGTGGCTTCCAGGGGGTGCTGCTGTTCACATTCTCATGCTTAGGCTCCAGAGCTCATCAAACTCCAGCTTGCAGCCAAGACTGCACTATCTACCTGTAGCCCGGGCACAAGGAAAGGAAGACAAAAGAGGCAGTGCCACCACCACTACTCAGGAGTATGCGCAAAGAGTTCAGTTCCCGGTTCCTGGTTCCCACATAGAGGCCATGAAGGGACAGGAGCTGCATCCATGGACAGTGCCCTGAGTGACTAACAGGAGGAAATTCCACCCCCTCCCTTCACTGCAGCCTTAAAGGGACACTTGCATCAGACACCTGTGAACACAGCCCCCACACCATTAGTTAGGATCTGCTTGGTCCTGATGACAAGCTTCGCAGCTGTTCTGAGCATGGGGAAGAGTGGGCTGAGCTTTCCAGAAGTAACAAGGACAAGTAGTTAAGTGGGTGGGAGGACCTGAACTGAGTGATGACTTCATATTAGGCCCTCCCTCAACCCCGTGAGTCTGCAACATTGCTTAAAGGTCCCCCAAATGCCCAGTGGATGAGAGGTACAGCTGGCATTACAACCCAAGGCTTGACAGCCACCGCTGTGGGACTGGTTGAGGATGCCAATGTGGAAACCTGGGCAGTTAGCACCCACTCTTGAACACCACAGCTTCTTGCTCACATGGGTGGCTGTGCTTCCCTTTGTGGAGCAGAATGTGCTATTGTTGGTCTGCATGATTCTTGGTCTCCATGATTCTTTAGAGTAAATCTTTGCACAAAGCCAGTTCAAGGCTATGTCCAACAGTTTGACAATTTTAAAACAGTTAGCACATGCAGAAGATATCTTTTAGCTGATGTTATCCTGCTGTCTTCGCTACTTTCTTGCCACTGTGATAAAAAGATTCCCTTAGGGAGAGGGGTTTATTTTGGCATACAATTCTGGAGGGAGAGAGTCCATCATGGCTGAGATGGCATAGTGGCAGGAACAGGAAGCTGGCTGGTCACATCACGTCTGCCCTCAGGAGTGGCCTGGAAGTGGGACCAGGCTATAAACTTTCTAGGCTGAACCCCTAGTGACCCACTTCCTCCAGCATTGTGCCACCTTTTAGAGGTCCCACAACCGGTGGGGACCAAGTGTTCATACCCCTGTGTCTTTGGATATGAGCCGTTTGAACTCAAACCATACCAGCCGTCTATGTGATTTGCTGTGAAATTTCTTTAACTCCTCATATTTTTTTGGGGGGTGTGTGTGTGTTGAAGACAGGGTTTCTCTGTATTGCTTTGGAGCCTGTCCTGGAACTCACTTTGTAGACCAGACTGGCCTCGAACTCATAGAGATTTGCCTGCTTCTGCCTCCCGAGTGTTGGGATTAAAGGTGTGTGTCAGCACTGCCTGGTGCCTCTCACATTTGTTAAATTTAAAAACCTGGTCATCTGTTATGGGTAAGGCACTGTGGCTCACATCTCTCGTACAGAGATGAAAAGATAGGATTCTGGACATGAGATATAGTCCAGGCTGGCCTTGAACCCACTCAGCTAAAGTCCGATATATATATATATATATACACACATATACATATATATCTACAGTTTTGATACTAACTTTGCTTCAAGATCTTGAGCCAAGGGAAGAAGACAAGATGATGTCATCCCTGGCTGTAGAATTCTTACTTTTCTGTAACTCGTCAGACTTAACCTAATATAAGTATAGCCCTGTTCTGGGGCCAATTGGATATGTACTATTTTTATTATTAATGCATATTTTTACCAAACTCCTTACAGTGAAGTGATGCTACTGTTGCTGATTTAGTCCATCTTAAAGTGAGGAAGTCCAGTAGGGAAGGACTCGATGCACCTGTCTATCTCCTGCATCATAATCCACTCAAATATTAATGCAGAGTGATTAAGCACGGCATGTAGGATCTTCATTTAATTTTAAAAAAGAAAAGTACAGCAAACCTTAGCACAATGCAAAAGTCCAGGCCATTGTTTATTGCAGATGTGGGGCAGCAGCAGAATGCACTGTGGACACTGGAGCTTGTGGTTCGGAGTACCATGGGCTTCTCCCTGGGGAGTGAGAGATGACACTGATTTTTAAAAGGCTGGGGACGGTGTGGTGCCTTTGATTTCTGGAACACAGGGATGAGGTTTAAAAACAATGCCAGCATTTGCAGCTTATCTCTATCACTGGCCACCGTGGGGCCCAGTGTTCCCTGGACTTTGCTCACTGTCCTGGGTTGAACTTGAAATGTCTGAATAGGGCATCTTCTTTGTGAGTCCTCACTCTACACTTTGAAAGAGCCAGGGGAGAAAACTGCAGGAAAAGCACAGTGTGTTCTCTGTCACATGGGAAGGGCTGTTTCTGCCACTTCTAGAGAGAGAGGTTTTCTGTTTGTTTGTTGGGTCTCAAACTTCCTGTGTAGCTGAGGAGAGCCTTGAACTTGTTGCCTAGTTCAGGATTCCAGGCGTGCAGCTTTCAAGGAGCTGGGAGTCAAATCCTGTCTGCATGCACACTGGGCAAGTACTCTAACAACTGAGGTACATCTTATTTGATCCAAGAAGCTAAGCAGGGTTAGCCCTGGTATGCACCTGGGTGGGAGAGGTTCCCAAAGCCAGACAGTTGTGGTGTGAATCCCAACACTCACTGAGGGCGTGGCTTTGCCAGTCTTGCCCATTCCATCAGGTGAGAGGCAAAATTTTGGCAAATCTTCCATTCTAGACCTTTGTCTCTGATGGCCTTAGTTAGGACAACAGCTGTGTTTGCCCACTTGGCTTCAAGGTTTTTTTTCTTCTTTAAAATCTGTGTGTATTTATTTTTATTTTATATGCATGGGTGTTTTACATATATATGTGTATATATATGTGTATACATATATATATATATACACATATATATGCAGCAAAGGCATGCAGTGTTCATAGAAGTCAGAAAAAAGTATCAGAGCCTCTGGAACCAGAGTTACAGATGGTTGTGAGCCACCACGTTGGTGCTGGGAATCGAACCCAGTTCCTCTGCAAGAGCAGCTGAGTCATCTTCCCACCCATTTTGTTTTTTGAGACAAGGTCTCTTCTTGGCTGTCATCAGCTCTTTGTGGTCCAGGATGACCATGAACATCTGTCCTTTTCTCTACCTCCCAAGTTGTGGGGTCACAGGCATGTGCCACCCTTCCAGGCTTTGACACACATAGTTATAGGTACAGATTAGACATTTGGTCTACAGTGGATTGCTGTAGCACACATAGTGGTGGCCCTATGAGGCTATGGTGGAGTCACACAGTTCTTACTCCTGGTGACATCACAGTAATGCGGGAGAAAGCTACTCACCTGCTCTTGGTGATGCTGGTGTAAACAAACCACTGGGCTTCCAGGTGTAGCAGTGCATTACATAGAGTTTGTAGCACAGTGACAATAGTCAGTCATTACTGGCTCATGTCTTCATTATAGTTTAATCTTATTGCCACTGTAGAGTATATTCCCGCTACTTATCAAAAGGCAGCTCACTGTGAAGAGGGCGTCATCTCACACGAGAGGCATCCTTTTCTCTCATGTGTAACTCAGTTTCATGCTATGTTGTTCAGCGTGGTCACTATATCCAAGGTCTGGAGAGATGGCTCCACAGTCAGAGCACTGGCCGCTTTGGCAGAGGACTGAGGTTTGATTCTTAGCACCCATATGGTGGCTCACAACCATCTGCAACTCCAGTTCCTGGAGTGGCTCTCTCTGCGGGCGCTGCCTGCACCTGGTGCACAGACATGCAGGCAAAATGCCCACACACAGCAAAATAAACAAACAAACAAATAAATAAGCAAATAAAATTTTCAGTGCTAAACCCACAGAGTGGAGTCTGTTACACAGAGTATTTTCCCACTCTCTCTTTTACCATTTCTCTTCCTTTTCCTCGCATTTCCAACTCAATTTCTTCCTCACCCCGACTGGATAGCCTAGGGGCCTGATTTTGTCCGAGTGCAGATGTGCTTTTCAACCAGCAGGGGGCGCACTAAGCTCATCCAGTGGCCCCTGGAATCTGGCTGGATAGTATATTTCTTTGCAGTGTATATGTCCAGTGAATATTAAACTCCCATTATGAGTTTAATTTTTCCGTTATTAAAATGTATTGTTTCCTTTAGGAACTGAATTAACCTTTGCATTTAAATTTAAGCTTAGTCCTTTTCAAAGCTATTAGTGCTTTCAGACTAAAATGTGGACAATGATCAGACGAGGACAAATGACTATTAACATGAAGCGATTAACAGTGTCAAGGCACAGAGTTAGCATTTGGAGGCGGAAACGACAATGCTTAGGAAGCCAGACAAATTGCTAATTACCTGGCAGTTGACTTTTTGGGACAGAAGGTGACCTAAATCTGCCTTGTTGGGCTAAGACTCCATTGAACATCTTGGGGTTTGTGGCTTTCTGTTGAAGCCATGATGCAGAAGTTTACAGACAAGTGGCTTGGAACGTCACTTGGAACAAGGGAAGTGAATACAAGAAGATGGTTGGAGAGGTCTTGGATTCCCCAGGCTGCTGCTGGTAGCTACACTGCCCTCGTGTGGTGAAAGGAGACCTGAAACCTTGGCTGCACACAGCCCTGCCCCCCTCCAGTGAGATTTGCCACGTGCTTCCCTGGCAGTTCCAATGTTTGAATATGGTTTGTCGTAAGTCACAGCTCTATTTGTCACGTGGTGTGACCTTTGCTTTCACAAAGCTTGCATAGCTCCTGGGCCAACTGATTGCTTGGAACATGGAGTTTATTCTCATCAGAAACAGTTTCCTGGTGGGTGACTGGGGACGTGGCATCTGTGGAGACCTCCGTACTGTAGCTGTGGTCATACTGGGTGAGGGATGTCTGGGTTGGAAGACTCACTTGGTACTGGGACACAATTGTGCTATGCTAAATCATCCCCAAGAGAGGAGCTAGTTTGCCTCCAGATATGGAGGGGATCATGATGACATAGCCAGTTGCAGAAGGGGAGACTAGACAGTGCTTGTCCCTGTCCTTGCTCTGCCTTCTGTGGACATTTAGGTCCCTTCCAGGCCCGGAGAGAGTCAAAGCCACCAGCTAATCAGGAACGGACTCTTTTCCTGGCTTCTCTGCACATCAGTTAGACTTGGGATCTTCAGAAGCCTCACCCGGTTGAGGTCAGTTTCCAAGGAAGGGTCTTTGCTTCTGAGTGGAGGTCAGTGTTTCTCAACCTGTGGTTCTCAACCCTTTGGGGGGTTGCATATTAGATATCCTGCATGTTATATATTTACACTGTGATTCATAACCGGCAAAACTATAGTTATAAAGTAGCAATGAAATAATTTTATGGTTGGGGGTCACCACAACATGAGGAACTGTATTAAAGGGTTGCAGCATTAGGAAAGTTGAGAATCACTGTTGTAGGTGTGTATTAAGGCCCCATCCTCAAACACCCCATTTCTCCTTAGATACCTAGACAAAGGATTGTACTGTTAAACTTAGTTATCAGTGGGTCTCAGCAGGACAGGCATAAACCTCCAAGATAAGGAACCCAGATTATGTTCTTTCTGAGACACAGATTATGTTCTTTCTGAGACAGGACCTTGTGTAGCCTGGGCTAGCTTTTGTCTCACTGTGTAGCCAAGGATGACTTGAGTCTCGGAATTCCTGATTCTGTGCTGCTATCTCCCAAGGACTGGGATGACGGACATGGGTGTCATGCTAGGTTCCCAAGTTACTTTATTAGTAAAAGGGACCAGAACCTTTTTGTAGATCTCTATAAGCATGTGAATGTGATATTAAGTATGTAGATGTAGTATTCAAGGCACTGTAATTGGGCTAACCCAAAACACTATACTCCGTCATATTGATTCTTTTGTGTTACTTGAAAAGGCAAATGTAGGGGATTGTGCCGATATTCAAGTCGGTTTCTCATGTAGCTCAGGCTAGTCGTCCTTACCAGAGATGGAAAGCTGGGGTTGTAAGATCAGCATAAACACCCTGAGGGAAGCTGACTTTCTGGGCTTAGTCATGTGTCCTCTGTCTTGACACTCTCTCACAACCTGCTGCACTCTGTCATGCAGTGTGTTAGAATTCAGCTCCAACTGTATCTTTGCATTTACTCTATTATAAAGGCATGGGTCATATGAAATTTATATTAAATTATATATGTGTGTATATACACATACATATATGTATACATATATGTAATATGTATGTATGTATATGCTTTCCTCTTTATTTCTGTTTCATGTCAGGGTTCGCTGAAAAGTTCCAAGAGGATAGAGGAGGTATTTTGCCTCCTATAGGATATGACCCACATTATCTGTGGGTACTGTGGGTATGTATACATCCAATCCTTCATAGATTATCCTAACTGCAGATAAAACATAATTTAGTGTCTGGAGAGGACTCAGTGGTTAAAAGTGTCTGTTGTGCAATCATAAGGAACTGTCACCCCGTGTAGTCAGCCAGGCATCTCACAAACACCTGTAACTCCAGCTCTGAGGGATTCAAAGCCCTCTTCTGGCCTCTGCATGCAAACAGATGCAGGCACCACACCCGCCCACACAGCTACATGCACATATACTCATACACACACATATAAACAAATAAATCTTTTTAGAATACTGAGGGAAACTTCAGGACTGAACTATACACTTTTTGGTCTTTATTTCCTGATTGAAACAATGTACCTCTTACCATTGACATTCTATTTGTGAGCTAGAGATGCTTTAAAGTAAGGATTATGCATAGACTAAGAGGCAATACCAGGCCATTTCACTTGAGGATTTGGGATTCTGAAATAGGTGCTGGAACCAGTTCTGGTTTAGACAGGAAAGGATGTGGAAATATATACAAATGACTGTCTGTAAACCGTATGCAATGTTATGACACATTGTGTTTTAAGTGTGTGCAAATGTATGTGTGTTTATGTTCTGTTCATGTGTCTGTGCATGTGTTTCTTTAAGTTACTTTTACTTTTTTGTGTATGTACACTATGTGTATATAGTGCCTGTGAAGGCCAGAAGAGGGCACCAAATTCCCCAGAACTGAAGTTATGAGCTGTCATGTGGGTGCTGGGAAGTTAACCCAGGTCCTCTGCAAAAGGGCAATTGCTCTTAACCACTGAGCCATCTCTCCAGCCCCAGTGCATGTGTTCCTGTGTATATACGTGTATAATATTTGCATATGTGTACATTTAAGTATATGTATATATATATATAATTTGTGTGAGCACATTTGTGTGTATGTGTTTGTAGGTATATGTGTGTTGGTGTGTGTGGACGTGTAAGTGTGCATGTATACGTATCCGTGTATACATGTTTGTGAATTTGTGTATATGTTTGTTGGTGTGTATAGGTATAGAAGTGTGTGTTTGTACACTTAGTTGTGTGTTTGTGTGTATATGTCACATATGTGGGTGGATTAAAAGTGTGGGGGATTAGAAGCCTTGCTTTCATAGTTAAAGCTTTTCAAACCTAGCCGTCTTGCTTTCTCCTGGTGTGACTTAATGTTTTATAGTCTTCTGCATGTCTGTCTCTCGGGAAAAATGGGAATCATAATAGCACTTCCCTTCAAGTCATGAGGACCAGTTAAAGTCCAGTGTTCAAGGGTGGAAGGCCAGGCAGTCAGTGGCCACGGAGTGTCTGTCCCGTGTTCACGCTGCATCCTATGGGAATGACAAGTGTGGGAATCATGGTTGACCACACTCAAAATAGGTTTGTTTCAGAAGCTGTGGGTTTCTCATTGTCTGTCTGATGAGTCTGCTGTGGCCTACAGGCTTTGAAGACCTGTTCTTGTTGATTTGGTAGAGTCAGTAATTGAGATTGTGAGTCCAGAGTAAGATGGCTGGACTCCAGTGCACAGGTGCTGGGTTCCACGCTCAGTGCCATAAGTTTCATTTTTTACGGTGAATCATGTGTCATGAGCTTGACTGTGCGTGTACTGCCTCATGGAGCTTTGCACAGTTCTGTGTCTACATACCTTCTACCTGACCAAGGTGAAGGAAGCCTGACTCTAAAGACACCTCTCCCTTTTCTCCCAGGATACTTGGGACGAGCTCCTGATTGGTGATGTGGAAATGAAGAAGGTGTTGAGCTGCCCTAGGTAAAGACCAGGCTTAGACGGGGCTGCTGGGAGTGTTCGCCTTGTGGCCGTCATCTAATTGTGCCTCTTTGACAGGTGCATTTTGACCACAGTGGACCCAGACACTGGAGTCATAGACAGGAAGGAGCCGCTGGAAACCCTGAAGAGGTAGGATGCCAGTGTGTGCCCTGTGCCCAGCACTACAGGTGCACCAGTGCTCATGTCCTGACCCCAGGCAGCCTTTGCTTTGTGTCAGTCATGTGAGTTTCTCCCTCTTTTTAGATCTTCAGTTTTCTGACACATTTTTAGTTATATAGTATTCTAATGTGAAGCTTTAATATCTCATCGAGTTTGTGTGTGTGTGTGTGTGTGTGTGTGTGTGTGTGTGTAGGCCAGATATTGACATTGGATGACTTCCTCTGACTTTTCACTCTTTTGGGGTTTGTTTTTATAGTAGAATCCTTTTCTAATTTAAAAAAAAAAGTGTTTTGTTTTGTTTTTTGACAGAATTTCTCTGTAGCTTTGGAGGCTGTCCTGGAACTCAATCTGTAAACCAGGCTGACCTCGAACTCACAAAGATCTGCCTGCCTCTGATTCTCGAATGCTGGGATTAAAAGCATGCGCCACCAACACCCGGCTAGTTATTTATTTTTATTCTACTTTATGTGCTTTGGTGTTTTGCCTACATCTGTCTGTGTGAGGCTGTTGGAGCCTCAGGAGCTGGAGTTACAGACAGTTGTGAGCTGCCATGTGGGTGCTGGGAATTGAACTCAGATCCTCTGAAAGAGCTTTTAACCTTTGAGCCATCTCTCCAGCCCCTAGATTTCTTTTCAAAGGCAGAACTCTTGAGTCCCCTGGGTGAGGACAAGTCTCCTGCACTTTATATCTTCTTATCTGAAGTGTCATGCACAGTTCCTTATGGACACATTAACTTCTCTCTGAAAGCTGAGATTTCAAACTTAAATCCATATTCCATGGTCACAATCGTCTCAACTTGGTCCAAACTGTATGAGCCGGGTCTTTAGAAAATGCTAGATGACCCAGAGTTTCCTGGGTTGGTCTTAAAGTTCCTCTAATGTCAAAGAAATGGTAAAACTGGTGGTAAAAATGTGTGACCCTCCGTGGCACCTGTGCCAGTGCCAGGGACTGGCTGTGCAAACCTCTTCCTGCAGGGGCACAAAGAGGTGCTGAGTGGCAGAGCCAGGCCCGCTTGGAAGCCGGGACAGCAGCAAGGAGGTGAAGGCACACAAGCTGCCATGGCTAAGCCAACCAAGGATGTGTGCACTTCACTTTATGTTGGTGATAAGGCTCTCACTGGCCTGGAACTTGCTGGTGAGCTCCAGGCATCACCTGTCCCTGGCTCCCCTGTGCTAGGATTCTAGGCGAACACTACTGGGCTTTTTCTGGCCTCTGAAGAGCTGCACACAGGTCCTTGTTCCTGCACAGCAGGCATTTTACCAACTGAGGCCTCATCCAGCCCATCTCATCAATTTCTAGTAATTCAAGAGCCCCCTCCCCCGAAAAAAAAGAAAGAAAGAAAAAAAAAAAAAAGAGAGAGAGAGAAAGCACAAAAAAAGACCTTAGTTAACATTTTTTGGGTGTCTGTGTTGTTTGGCTTACCCTTTCTGTTTTAATGTTTGCTTCTAACAGGTTTGGAGGTTATTTCAAGAGGCCTTTGGATTTACAGTTCTATCTTTGTTCTTTACTTTTAAAAATACAGTGAAGGTGATTTTCTTCAGCTAACTTTGACTTCATGAGCAGTCCCTTCAGCCAGTGGCATCTCTGCCTTCATTTTCATTTACAGGGGAACCTCCAGTTTTGAGCCTTAATGTTGGAGGAGTTGAAAGCATAGGGAATAAATGCCTTGAACCAGAGCTTTGACAAAAAAACGACAGAAAACAAAAACAAAAACAAAACCTGACAAAGACAATTTAAGGGAGAAAGAGATTTATTTTACCTCACAATTCCAGGCTGTAGTGCATCACTGTGGGGACATTAAGGCAGGACAGTCACACCCCATCCATACAGAGAAACCCATGCACACATGCTTGCTTGCCTGTGCTCAGCCTGACTGTTAGTTCTCTACTGTTAGTTCAGGAGCTTCTGTCTAGGGTGTATGGTACCACCCACAGTGGGCTGGGTAACTTAATTAAAACAAGCCCACATGCCAACCCAGTGTAGACAGTCTCTCAGACTTTCAGTGGGTCTCAGTTGTGTTATTGACGATGAAGGCCAGTCAGCACAGTGGGGGAGGGGTGGTCCTATTTTGTGGTTCCATGAGCATTTTTTCCTGTGAGTTGTGAGTCCCAGGTACCTGTGTAATAGTGTACAATTCTTACACAAACCAACACTTACTTTTATTAATATTGTAATTATTATTATTTTGGGATTTTAGAGACAGTGTTTCTGTAACCCTGGTTGTTCTGTAATTTGCTTTGTAGACCAGGTTGGCCTCGAACTCAGATCCACCTGGCTTTAGAAAACCCACAATTATTTGGCTGCTTGCTTACAGTCATCCCTGACCACCTTTAGAAAGAGCTTGTTATTGACCCATAATTGCCTAAGGATCAAACGTCCAAGTCCTGCAGAAAGCACTAGACTCCTGTTTCCTTCGGGGGCCTGATGATGGTTTGGCTTCTTTCAGCTACCGCCTGTGTGACCCGTCTGTGAAGAGTTTGTACCAGACATCTCCCCTTTTTGGGATGTATTTCTCAGTGGAAAGAATTGGAAGCCTGAGAGTCGGTGACCCTGTGTATCGTATGGTGGATTAATGGGCCCAGTGTCTGACAAGGTAAAAGTTTTCATTCCCTCCTAGAGCTCTGTTTTGACATCACAACCACATTCCTTGTCCTCTGATGCTTTAAAATTTTTTAAATACTTTGCCTGTTGGTGGCTCATACCTTTAATGGCAGCACCTGGGAGGCAGAGACAGGTGGAGCTCTTAAGTTCAAGACCAGCCTGGTTTACAAAGCAAGTTCCAGGCAGCCAGGGCTACACAGAGAAACCATGTCTTGAACAAGACAAAACTTTAAACATTTTATTATTCTGTGTATATGGATGCTTCGCCTGCATATATGTCTGTGTCCCCCATGCATACAGTAACTGAGGAAGCCAGAAGAGGGAACCCCTGGAAAGTGGAGTTACAGATGGTTGAGAGCTGCCACGGAGATGCTGGGAATCGAACCTGTGCCCTCTAGAAGAGCAGCAAGTGCTCTTAACCACTGAGCTGGCTCATTCAGATGCTTTTTTAAAATCCTATGTTGTTTTAATTCTTGGGAGAATGAGGAGTTTGGGAATCTCCCTCCCTTCCTTCAATAATCTGTGTACTTCTATCCAGCCTTCCCCATTCCTGCTTCCCATTTGGTGATAAAGTAGTACCAACAGGGGCTGCCCTGACACACTGGCAGGGGCCCCTGGTTCCCTGGGGCAGCATCATTAGAGGAGTGAGAAGCCAGATGTGGTGGTGCACACTTTTAGTCCTAGTAGTTGAGGCAGAAGAAGGTGGATCTCTGAGTTCAAGGCCAGCCTGGTTTACAAAGCAAATTTCAGGCAGCCCGGGCTACACAGAAACCCTGTAAAAAAAAAAAAAAAAAAATCAAAACAAACAAACAAACAAACAAAAAAAAAAACCCCCAAAAAACAAAAATGTCACTGACAGCAAAAAGGCAATAAGGAACGAAGGCAAAAGACCCTCTAGGGTTAGGTGTGCACTTTTTTTTTTGTCTGAGAAAAGTGGGCAGGGGGTATTGCAAACCCTGTCAGACATCTCTTAAATACATCTTAAAGAATCAGTGTGCCAAGATGACTAGATCATGATGCTGAGGTAGAAAATAACATTCTTACTGATCGCATCAGGTCAGCTCGATTCCTGAGTCCTACAGACACAGCTGACCCCTTAGTTATAGGAAGGAATGAGGAGTCATTGGGAAACCTTCCCTTGAAAGCTCTAAGCAGCTCCCATTGCAAAATCTGTTATCCAGCTTCCCTGAAGCATTGTGGAGATTTTGTCTTGTTTTGTTTTAAGATTTACTGATTTTTATTTTATGTGTGAGTGTTTTCCCTGTATGCCTGTACAGACACTGTATATATGCAGTACCTTCAGAGGCCAGAAGAGTGCGCTAGATTCCATGGGACGAGTTAAAGATGGTTCTGAGCTGCCATGTGGGCTCCTCTGTAAGAGCAGCCAGTGCTCTTAAACCCTAGGCCCCTACTTTCTACTCCCTAAAGTCACCTCATGGCTGAAACCTTTGACACTTTTCTCTCTAATTCTTCCCTGGGATTCTCACATATGGTGACCTCTCTGCAGCCTTGCCGCCTGCCCATGTGACTGACCATCTGTCCCAGTTATGGTTTCTATTGCTGTGAAGAGACACCATGACCACGGCAACTCTTGTAAAGGAAAACATATAATTGGGGCTGGCTTACAGTTTCAGGGGTGTCATCCCTTATCATCAGGGCAGGGCATGATGGCGTGCAGGCAGACACGGTGCTGGAGAAGGACCTGAGAGTTCTGTATCTTGGTCCTCAGGCAGCAGGAGGAGTCTGTTCTATACTGGGCATGGCTTGAGCATAGGAGACCTTAAAGCCCACCCCCACAGTGAAATACTTCTTCCCACAAGGCCACGCCCATCCCAACAAAGCCACACCTCCAAATAGTGCCCCTCCCAATGGGGCCATTTTCTTTCTAACCACCACACCATCCAAAGGACCAAGTGCCTTAGTGACTCATGTAGACTAGGTATAACAACAGCTATACTCAGAACTAAGGGTTCATCCTTAGTTCTGAGTCTCTGTGGACTAAAAAATAGGAAATAAGGGTTGTCCTCACCAAAACATTTAATAAAAGCTATTTTGCTATTAATTCATTAAATTCAGAATGTAATATAAACATTAAAGGTACTTAATAGTAGGTATGAAATTTTTTATTGTCCTTTTGGACAGTAGCATAGCTTCAAGGGCCAATGTGCCATATGTGTGAGACAGGAAATGTGAAAAAGGAAATCAACATCCTTTGACTATGGTTGTGTGGTTAAAACCCCAGAGACCATGCAGCATGACCAAAGGTAGAATGGAGAGTCTCTCTCGAAGCCAGCCTGTGGCTGCCCGGAGATGAGCACTTCTCACAGAGCAGTCTCGAATGCATATTACAAGGAGTTTCAGAGATAAAGCATACAAACTGCATCCTGGTCAGAGTTGCAGGGGGAAGCAAGCAAGCAGTCTGACAGGAGCCATTAACATGCTGTTAGCTGGGACATTTCAACCCAAGTTTCTAGAACAGGGTTGCGTGCTTTCCCACAGGACTTTTCAGGGCAGAGGCTAGAGACCAAAGATGGCTTCAGCTGAGACAAGATGGGAAAAACTTTACCCTGTCACTTCTACCTGTCCTGATGAGGCTTGTAACCACACTGCCAACCATACTTAATTGTTTGTTTTCTGAAACAGGATCTCTGTGTAGCCCTGGCTTTCCTGGAACTCATTCTGTAGACTAGGCTGGCCCTGAACTCAGAGTGCTGGGATTAAAGGCCACTATGTCCGACCCATGCATGAGAGCATGCGAGGTGGTTCAGTGGGTAAATGTGCTTGCCACCAAGTCTGAGGTCCTTCGTTCAAATCCCTAGACTCGTGTGGTAGAAGGAGAAAACTGGTTCTCCCAAGCTGCTCTTTGACCTCTATATGGGTACCATGCCCCCACCCCACAAATCAATAAATGCAATTTAAGACAGATATGATAGCTTATGCCTGTAATCCTAACACTTGGGAGGTAGAGACAGGTGGAGAAAAAAAGTTAAATAAAATCCTTGTGACTCAAAATTGATGTATCTTGTAATTGATCTGTCTTGGATTTCATGAAATATAGAAAATACTAGAAGACAGGAAATGGCAGATCTGATCAGACCTTATCCTGCTTTCCAGCTGTGGATGACTGAGCCTAGTTCCTGAGCTTTAGGTGACAGACCTACTTATCAGATGCTGCAATGGCTAAACATGGCAGCCCTTCACAGTAGTTCACTCTGGCAACTTAACGTTTGTTCAGGTTTCCAGGAGGCTTTGAGTTTTAAAGGCCCTAAGACAATCTCTTACCACCCTGTTAGGGCCTGTGGGGGGAAGTGACAGTAGACACTTAGTAGATAGTAGACACTTGATAGTAGACAGTAGATACTTGATAGTGGATAGTAGACACTTAGTAGATAGTAGACACTTGATAGTAGACACTAGGTAGATAAGCAGTTAAGGCTCATGTGGGCCAGCTGACCTAGCATTGTGGAGCTGAGGAGACACAGCCAAGGGGCACGGTCCCCATCCAGTGTCTTCTTGTATTTTATGTGTGAAGAAGTAACTCAGTGCCCAGGCACTGTGTGGTGTTCCAGGGGCTCAGGAAAAAGGACAGTTTTCTCCATGGGGTGACGGAGCAAAGTATGAGGGCAGAGTGCAGCTTGTTCTTGCTGAGGAATGTAAGAAGGATCAGGAGGTGCTCCAGGGGCCCATAGGATGCAAGCTGGAAGGTCCACTTTGGATGGACAGATTAAAGCCTTAAAAGGCAAAGCAGTAAACATTTGCTCTGAAGTTAGTTTGGCTGTCTATTTACTTAAAACTTGAGGGGAGGGGGTGAAGCACAGGGTTTTTGTATAGCCTAGGCTGACCCCAAACTTAGACTTCCCATCCTGCCTTATCCTCCTGAGTGCTGAGGTAGCATGTGCTACCATGTGTGGTTTACTTAAACACACGAAAGTTGTGTTCCATTCTAATTTCAGCTTATGTTCACCATGGCATGTTTAGGAAAGGCCAGAGAATTAGACGGATGGAAACCACCTACTTAGACATTTTACACAGATACAAGTTTTATTTATTCCATGTAGCTGTGATGCATGCATTTTGTAGCCCAACACTATAAACAAACTTAATTTTGATGGCTTAATAATATACTATTTAAATAAATGATATGCTTTAAAAATCAGTTTTACAGTATTTGCTGCTTGGATTATACCCAATTATGTTATAAATAACAATATAGTGGATCTCTCTGCAGGCCCCAGAGCATTTCTAAACTAGAGGATTTTTACAGCTTATAAAAGTAGAAATATTACCATGAGAAATTATCTGTAAAAGAGTTGTTTTCTTTTTGTACTCTGTACGTCATGTTGCACTAGTCATTTACATCTGCTCTAACAAAATACTTTAAGGTTGAATACTCCATCCTGAAGAAAGGTTCAGTCAGATCAATGGTTCACAAAGCTGAAAAGTCCAAGATTAGGTGGCCCCCTCAGTTTAGTCTTGGTAAAGCTCCCTTGACTGTATCACAGAGCCAAGAGCTCACATGGTGAGTCAGGAAGGCAGAGTGGAAAGGGCCAGACTTGCTCTTCTAAAACAAATTTCTCTTAAGGGAGCTAACGGAGTGGCATAATCACTGTTCCATTGCAGTGAAGAGACACCATGACCAAGGCAACTCTTTAAAAAAGAAAGCATTTAGTTTGGGGCTGGCTTACAGTTTCAGAGGCTTAGTTCATTATCATTATGGCAGAGAGCATGGTGGCGGGCAGGCAGATGTGGTGCCACCAGAAAAGTAGCTGAGAGCTTCGTCATGATCTTTAAGCAGAGAAACCCCAAAGCCCCGCCCCCCCACTTCCTCCAACTAGGCCACGCCTCTTTACCTTTCTAATGCTTTTAAACGTTCCACTCCCTGGTGACCAAGCATTCAAATATATGAGCTATGGGGCCATTCTTATTCAGACCAGCACACTGGGTGGGTTTCTATTGCTGTGATAAACACCATGATCAAAAAAAAAAAAAAAAAAAAAAAAAAAAACTTAGGAAGAAAAGTGTTTTTTGCTTGCACTCAAAAGTAAACGGTCCCTCACTGAAGGAAGTCAGGGAAGGAGCTCAAACTGGGCAGGAACTGAGGGAGAGGCCCTGAAGAAGCATTGTCTGGCTCAGTCCTCATGGCTTGCTCAGCCTGTTTTTCTCTCTCTCCCTTAATTTTGCTGTTTTTTGTGTTTCTAGGCAGGGTCTATCTGTATAACAGTCCTGGGTGTCTTAGAACTCGCTTTGTAGACCAGTATGGCCTCTAACAGAGATCTACCTACCTCTGCCCTATGCGCCACTACTGCCCATCTTAGCCTATCATCTTATATACCCAGCCATCACCTAAGAGGGGACCGCCCACAGCAGGCGGTACCCTCCCACTTCAGCCATCAATCAAGACATTGCACCTGACTTGCTCACAGGCCAGTCTATTGGCAGCAGCTTCTCAACTGAGGTCCCCTCTTCCCAAACGACTCTAGCCTGAGTGATGCCGACATTAACTAACTAGCATACTGGGCTCCACAAGATCTACCTGAATCCCTCTCGGCCTAATGAACCCTCACGAGGCCCCACCTGGTGGGAATCACCTCACTTCTCAAGTCACTATACACAAACCAGCCCCTGTAGGGCACAGTCTGTCCACAGCCACTGGCTCCGGTAAGAAAGCCCCTTGTTAGGGTCCTGATGAACCCATCTTCAAAAGCAGCTGTTGGCTGTGATGGTGGTTCTTGTAGGTCATAGTTTACATCCCCTGCACTTTAGCCTCAATAAGCGACTGTTCTGTTCAAGAGTGAATTATTTATGATCAGTTGTCTGAGTAACAAAATAATAAAGATCTTATCATTTCTTCAGCTCCCAGGTTCTAGGAGATACTTCTGCAAGTCCTTACTGCCAGCCATGACCGTCTTCCTGGAAATAAGCCTCCGTTTTTCCTTCAGAGCGTTGTACACCTGAGTTAATTTGAGAAAGTACAAGAGGTGGTTTGGGAATATTAGATAATGATGTTTTTAAAAATAAATGGAATTGTGAACAGTTATTCTGAATGGCCCTACCCCTGTTACCTTTTTCTAATTACTGCCTTTAACATTGCGTAGTAAAGCAAGTTTAGAGTCAACTTAAAAGCTGCCAAATTTTAAAAGAAAATGTTTATACGTTTTATAGGTGTATGTGTGAGAGGTGGGGGAACGAGTCCTCATGTCCTGATGTCAGTGTGCTAATTCTCAACCTGAATGTTGAGCCCTGTTGAGTTTTGATTATAGAGCCAGGATTATGCTTAAATATAGGAATGATTCCATAGATCATGGGGTTATTTTATTCTTTGTATCTTTATGTTTCATTAGGATTCTATTAAAACATATGATTTATCTTTAATTGTCAATTCCTCTAATTCTACAAGAAAATAGAATTTAAAAGACTAGAATCTCCAAAAATAGGAGTAAACAGGAGAAACCACGAACACATTTGTTATATTCATATCTATTTTTCATAACAAAGATGAACTAGCTTGCTGTAACAAGTGGCATATAAATGAGTTAGCCCTCTTGAAATTGTGTGGCTTCTTTGTCATTAATAAGTGTGAGTTTCTTCCTGCTTCATCTGTGACATCTGCTTCTGGGTTTCTTTCTCATTTCAGAGTCATTGTCACACATCTCCCCTGGGTTCCAAACATTTCCCCTTGCCACTGGTGTGCACAGGCACCCGGAACTGAGTGAACATGGCTGTCTAGGCCAGTGTTCTCAACCTGTGAGTTTTGACCCCTTGAGGTATCAAGCGACCCTTCCACGAGCGTCCAAATCAGATATCCCGAGTAGCAGTTATTTACATACGGTTCATAACAGTGGCAGAATTGCAATTATGAAGCAGCAATGAAAATTTTATGGTTGGGGGTCACCACAGCATGAGGAACTGTGTTAGAGGGTTACAGCATTAGGAAGATTGTAGACTCTAAGACATTATGGCTGGGTTCTGAGCCTGAGTTGAACCCCTCACCTCTGGCTATGAGTTAAAAGTGGAAGGCAAGCTGTGTCTTGGGTAATTTTGGACATGATAAAAGTTTTAAAGTCATGCTCCATCTAAAATCAACCATTAATTCTGAAACCATTTTCCCCTTTACATTTCTGAAGAGGAGTAGGAAGAGCGATAAACACACTCAGCTCTTGGTACCTTCCAGGCGCCTTTCCACAGAGAATTGGGAGCCTCGTCTGGTCCCCAGTGGCCCACATCACGGTGCCAGCTCCACTTCTCCATGACAAAAATCCCCAGGAGAACAGCCTGAAGGAGGGAGGATTCATTTGCCCCGAGGTCTCCCATGGTTCCATCTGTGGTCATTCTGCTGCACTCTTGGGCAGAGTACCCAGAGTGGCAAAATGTGTCAGAGGGATAGTTCTCTATTTGATAAGCACAGAAAGCAGATGGGAAGGAAGGGTCTAAGTCTCCACCAGGAGACTAACTTCCTCCTCAGCTAGGCTGCACCTCAGCCTCCTCAAATAGTGTCACCAGCTGGGGACATGAGAGCTACTGAAGGGACCAGACCCTCACCCAGCTCTCTGCTTTAGCAGCCATGGCAGGATGCAGAAAAGACCCAGCAAGATGTAGGCCTCTGACTCAGCAAAATGTGCTGAGCTTCCTAACCTTTCCCGTCCTTGCCCCTCACAGGGAAGCCAGATACCCTTCACATGGCAAGGAACCAATCAGAAGTTAGCTGGTGGGCTCTGGATATGCTTTATGGACTATTGACGTTGGCTTTAAGGCAACAATGATGTATAGAGCATAGCAACCATCCTAGGAGGCCCTATAGGCCATAGCAACCAGTTGACCAATCAACACAGGACAAGTTGCCCAGGCCCAGAAGTGCACACTCCTGAGACCGTTGCACACCCCTAGACACTTCCCTCCCTCTTCCCAATAAATTCCTTGCCTTGCAGTTTCTCTGGGTCCTTCTTGCCTGACCTGCCATGTGGGAAGGACAAAAGACCCTGAGTTAAGGTAGTTAACCTGTTAAATAAAAGACTCTTTACTTTTGCATCGGAAATAAGTCTCTTGGTGATTTGGGGGTTCAGAATTTGGGCACAACACTAGAGGGTGACTTTCACATTCAACAACAATAAATAGCCCAAGCCCAGGGAAGCAAGGTGAGCACAGTGCCCTCACAACTCTGATCATCTCTGGGTCTCTGGGAGTGAGGAGTGGCAGAAGGTGGCTGGGCATTGAGCAAGAAAAAGTATTTAGGTGTATGACAAGAAACTGTTGCAGGACAGGTCCTGAGTGATACTCATTTTTGTATCCCAGGTTGATGCTTTAAGCCAAATGAAGGCGAATTAAAAAAGTAAAGGACTGGGTTAAATCTGAGACAAGCAAGAGAGAAATCAATGGCAGGTCTAGGGACCAGAGCTTACCTGTAGGTGTGGTCTTGAGCATTGGGGGAGGAGCCTGAGCTTTCTGAGGGGGCAGGGTTTGGAGGAGGAGGAGTGGGGTTGAGGTGGAGTTTCCAGCTGAATACTGAGCACCAAAGGAACCCAAAGTGAGCTGGCAGCTGAGGAAGGAGTGTCTATCTTTGTCAAAAGATCATAAGTATCCCAAGTTGGAAGCAAAAGTCAATGCATGCATGCCAGCCATCTGCTTTCTCCACTTGTCACGCAGTGGCCTCTCAGGGAGTCTTTACAGAGACCCCAGCTCTGCCCCACATTGCCTCGGCTGCAATGCACCACAGCCTCCATCTTGCTCTTGTTAGTATTGTATGAATGTGAGTTCTGGGGACTGTCCCTTCTCCACTCCAAGATGCTGTCCAGCAGCAGGACATTCTGGTCAAGGTGTGATCCTGCCCATCACAGACCCTGCAGGGTATCAAGTGCAGTCTCTGGAAGGCAGTCTGAGGTCCTTGGAACCCTGGGAGACAGGTCCCACATCTGGCTGATTCCAGCTTTTTCCATCTCTCAGCCTGAGACTTAGGGTGGGTGGAAGGGAGGTATTTCCAGTTCCTTGGGGTCCTCTGTTTCAATAGTCTGATGGCCAGAGTTAGGGCAAAAACTTCTCTTTAGAGAAATCTTCATTCCTGCCTCACATCTTCCCCCTGCCCTCTCCCCCTTGTCTGTAAAATCCCTTTAATACAAAGCCTTCTCCCTGTTAGAATAGTCTAGAACAAAGACTTGCCATTTCAGCAACTTGACAGTCAACCAGGAGCCTGAGGCACCTGAGGTACCTTGTTGGCCTTGGCTTTGTTTAAGATGTGCTGACATTCGGAAATGATGAGTGACAGAATCCACCTCGTGGGACCTGCAGGGAAAGAGCTCCGGGCTCTTGGTGAGTGCCAGTTCTGATCTCGGACTGTTCTGTTCCGATAGCTCTGATGAGGCACTGCCCTGCCCTGTAGCGCCTCAGGGTCTGGTCAGACCTTTCTAATTCAGATCCTAGCTGGCTGGAAGCTCCTTGATCGCTGCCAAACTGCTCTCAGAGGGGCAGCTGCCCAGCAGCCTGATTTCTAATTTCAAAATCACACCATGTTTGTGCAAACGTTGTGTGTTTTAGGTCAAATAAACAACTCTACAAACATAAATAAGCTGGTCTCCTGCCTCGATTGATCGTGGGAGAGGGTCAGGGTGAGTGAAGGAGGGAAGGGAGGGAGGGAGGGAGAAGAACAGGAGGGAGGTGGGGACAACGGGTGGGAACCACCACACCAACCACCACCTCCCCGCCCAGTCCGAATGAAGATGCTCAACTTGGATTGGCGGGGAAGGGTCAGGAGGGCCCTTGGGCTCAAGCCCAGGCCCTGGCCAACGGCGACAGTCGCTCTTAGTCCAGCGGGCACCTGAGGTGTATTAACGCCCGCCCCGCCGGCTCTCGCAATGGGTGCCTCCAGCTCCTGGGCTCTGGGACTCCTCCACTTCTCCTCATCCCGGGTCCCCCGGCAGCTGCGGTCCACCTGGCTCGGCGTCGCCGCCGCGCTGGGACTGGCCGTGGTGGCGCTGGGGACCGTGGCCTGGCGTCGCAGGCGTCCCCGGCGCAAGCGGCTGCAGCAGGTGGGGACGGTGGCGCAGCTCTGGATCTACCCGATCAAGTCCTGTAAGGGGGTGTCGGTGAGCGAGGCGGAGTGCACAGACATGGGGCTGCGCTGCGGCCACCTGCGTGACAGGTACTCTGAGTTCTGCGCTGCACCATGCTGACCTAGGTCGGAGTGTGTGTGGGGGGGGTCTCCTCACAGAGTCCTTCCTTCCCAGACAAGAGACCAGGAACTGGGGAAGGGGTTCTGGGAAACGGAAAGAGTGACCCTCACCCTCCACCAGCCAACTCGGGGACCTGGAGCTCTGAAATCTCCAGGTTTTTCACTTCCAGGGGAAAATTTTGTGTTCCCCATGAGACATGTCCTACGCCAGCCAATCCGCAAGCAGAAACTTCAAACTCCCTCCACCTACGGAGCCGGAAGGGATTGACCCTTGGCCACTTTACTTTTTGTGATAGTCTTAAACGCTAGAGAAACCAAGACAATCGATCCCAGAGCACATCGTTGCTGAAGTTGAACATTTTCTTTTAGTTAAAAAGAAAAAAAAAAAATCGGCAAGTGTTATTTCCCCCAGGCTCCTGTCAGATAAAGAAAGGCTCCGCGCGGGGTGTGTGTGTGTGTGTGTGGGGGGGGGGGGGGGGTCTGAACCTGAGATTTGTGCTGTCTTTGGCCACTGGGATTTTGTAAACAGCGATTATAAATCAGGCTGAGGGGTGACTGGTGGGCTCCTCCTCATGGTGTGGACCTTGTCTGGTGTGACCCCTCTTCTTGTGATTTGCAGTTCTCCACGTCTCAGGAACAAAGATTGTTAAGAGGCTGGAGCTGGCTGCCCCAAGGCCTTCTGGCTGATTGCCAGGCTCCCTGTCCCACACTCCCGAAAAGTGTGCACCTTTGTTTCAGGCAGGCAAGAATCCTAACTATTCCTTGCTTTGTAGAGTGGGCTCTCACATACAGTAGCTTACTGACTTTAGTTTCTCTCAGCCTCATGGACAAAGGGCATTGGCATTTTACTCCCATATTGACTCAGAAAAAATGTTTTGAACTTGCACTACAGCTGTGATGGCAAACTCTTCGATTTTGTCACAAGTTCCCAGGGGTTTTAAGCAAAACATAAATAAACAACAACAAATCCAACCAACCAGACAAACAAAAAAAAAATCAGTAACTGCTCCAGTGGGGGACTGTAGCAAGTGTCAGGAAACAGAGAGGAAGGATCTTGAAAGGAGAATTTAGCAAAGGAAATCAACCCCTTACACTAAAAACTAGAAAGTGGTTAGATACTTTCCAGGCAAGAGAGTTGGCACAGCATTCTAGAGAGCTGGGCATAAATAGCAGGCTTAAAGATGGGCACACCCTGGTGTGTTAGCAGGAGTGGAAGACAGGGCTTGATTGTAAAGAATGCCTTTTGCAACACTGAATCCTGACTGTGCCCAGCAGCAAGAAAGAAGTGGAAACCGTCCAAAAGTCCATCAATGTGTTGGAAGATTAATTAAAACGTGCTTTATATAGATGGTGGAATATCACCCAGCCTTGGAAAGAGGCTCAAGTGCATGCTGTAACACGGATGACAATGAAACCATGAAACCAGAGCAGGGCAGAGAGACTGACTAGCTACACATGCTCCAGACTCATAGAAAGTGGAGTGGGGGCTCTAGGGCTGGAGGAGGCAGGTGTGGTGAGTTATTGCTCAATGGGTGCAGAGTTTGGAGACAAGAAAGGTTTGGGAAACAGCAGTGAAGGTTGCACAACACTGAATGCATTTACTGCCATGATGCCACGCTCCACTTGGGTTATACTACTTGTGGTCTGTGTCTGGGCTGGGTCTGGCCAGGGTTCTTGGCTGAATCCAGGTCCCACACAGACTTGCCAGAGAAGCTGGTAACATTATTTGACGTAAACCAAATGTCTAGAGGAATATGCTATCAAGAATGACAGAAGCCAGTCGGAAGATGATGGTGCATGCCTTTAATCCTAGCACTTTGGGAGGCAGATGCAGGTGGATCTCTGTGCATTAGAGGCCAGCCTGGTCTACAGAGTGAGTTCCAGGACAGCTAAGGCTACACAAAGAAACCCTGGTATATTAGTTAGGATTTCTGTTGCTGTGAAGAGACACGATGACCATGGAAACTTTGACAAAGGAAAGCATTTTGGTGGTGGCTCTTGGTTCAGGGGTCTAGTCCATTATCGTCATGGCATGGAGCATGACAGTGGGGAGTAAGATGGCATTCAGGTAGACTTGGTGCTGGAGAGGGAACTGAGAGCTCTTACAACTTACAGGGAACAGGAAGTGATCTGAGATACTGGGTGTGGCTTGAGCATATGTGAAATCTCAAAGCCGGCCTCCGCAGTGACACGCTTTCTTCAATAAGATCACTCCCACTCCAACAAGACCACATCTCCGAATAGTGCTACTCCTTTTGGGGGCCATTTTCTTTCAAACCACCATACCTGTCTTCAGAAAACCCAAACCAACCAAACAAAAGAGCCACATGAGTGAGAACACTCAAGGATCCTGGCAACCACTGGTAACCCCAGTTCCAGATTACCTTATGCTTTCTGTGGGCCTTTGCAGGCACTGCATGCATGTGGTGCACATACATATATGCCTACAAACACCCATATGCATGCAATTTAAAAATAGTGTGTGGGATTGGCATCACCTGTTATTCAGCTGAACCGAATAGCTCCCTGTTCCTGTTTCTGAGATTTCACTGCTTTCAGTGAGTCTCTGGCCTTCAGTGAAGTGGATTCTGACCACTTTCTTGGGGCTTTGTTTAATGAACATGGTCAAGTCCCAGCAATTGGGGTAAAGTATAATTAACATCTTTGGCTCAAAGTGTTCCATCTGTTACACATTAATTCTTGAGCTGTGATTTGCCCCTTTAAAATTAACAGACAATGTCAGTCCTTGTTTGCTTCCTAGGCAATGCTCAGAACAGACAATCAGACAGGCACGCACGCGCGCTCGCACACACACACACCTCTCCACACCTTCCAGGCTTCTTACTGGAAGGAAATACAAGAAGTGTAACTGAGCTCTGGTAATGGCTAAGGCTGGCTGTGCTGGTTTCGTTTTGACAATGTCAGGTTTTGGCTTGTGGTCAATGAAGATGGGAACATGGTCACTGCCCGGCAGGAACCTCGCTTGGTCCTGATTTCTCTGACCTGTGACAATGACACCTTGACTCTCAGTGCTGCCTACACAAAGGACCTGCTGCTGCCCATCACCCCGCCCAACACAAACCCATTAGTTCAGTGCAGGTAAGTAGAACAAAACTCTGGCCTGTGGGACCACAGATGCATGCGACTTTTCTTTAGCCTTTAATTGTTTTAATTCACAGTTAGCTTATAAAATAACAGATGGTTTCATTATGACATTTTGACACACATGTTATATTTTGCTCATGTTAGTTCCATATCCCCTTGTCCCGTACCCCTGCATTGGTCCCTTCTCCCCCCCCCAAAAAAAACCAATTACCTCGTATTTTATATCACATATGTATATATAGGGTTGGGGATGCAGCTCAGTGGTAGGGTGTTTGCCTAGCACATACAAAGTCCTGGATTCACACAATGCTACATAGTCTAGGTATGGTGGTGCACACCTGTAATTCCAGCACTGGAGAGGTAGGGCCAGGAAGATCTGAAGTTCAGGGCCATCTTTGGCTGCAGGAACTCAAGGCCAGCCTGGGCTACATGAAACCTTGTCTACATAGGTAGATGGTGGAGAGACAGATAGATGTATGGGTGATGGATAATTAAATCTAGATGCTACATATAACAGAAAACATGAGGCTTTTTGTTTTGTTTTGTTTTTGCCTCCCACTTTCCTTTAGACCTCTTCCTCCCATGCACAGTCCCTCTTTAATGTCTCATATGTACATGTGTGAACATATATGTTTGTATTTAAATCCAGACTGTGCATATGCTCTTGCAGTTTTGAGGAAGTGTGAACAATGGAGGTCTCCAGAAAGCACACCATCAACAGTTGGGCATTAATTACATGTGACCTCCTCTGCCCTCAGCACTCAGTCCTCTGCATCCTGCGAGGAAAAATGAAGAACTAGCTCCAAAAGCTGGTATAGGGATAAGGAGCACAAGAGCTCAATGTAGCAGGCTGAGGATGTGACTTAGTGGTATAGCGCTTGCCAAGCACGCTTGAAGCTCTGTAATTTAATTTCAACTCAAACATAAATTAATTAATGAAATAAAATTCAATGTAGAAAGCAGTGGGGGCTAAAACACATTCAAGGGAGCAAAGAGAAAAATAATCCCATGGAAGAACACAGAACAAAATGGTGGCATTGTAGGAAGGGTGTCCCGCAAGAGGGGAAATCCTGTAATCTTGCACAGGGCGGTCTTTGCAAAGGGCTCGAGCAACAGTGTCCTGTTAGATATGATATTTAGCTCAAAGGGGGAAGTTGCAAAGTGGAGAAGAGCGGCTGTAACTGAAGACCTGTCTTGTGTCCACATTGGAGGTCAGAGGAAGGAGGACATTGCTAGGGTACTCCATACAGAAGCCCACTTGCTCAGCACTGGAAGGCCAGTGTTCTTGACCTGGCTTAGAAACTAAGAAATCACAGTTAGAACTTCCCTTTTTTTGGATTAAGACAGGGTTTCTTGCCCTAGCTATCCTGGAACTTGCTTTGTAAACCAGGCTGGCCTCACATTCACAGAGATCCACCTGCCTCTACCTCCTGAGTGCCAGAATTAAATCATGGACCACAGTGCTTGGCTGTTTCTGTGTTTTTAATTAATATGCAACATGAGTTGAGCAATAGTGGCTTACACCTTTGATCCCAGCACTTGGGAGGCAGAGGCAGATGGGTCTTTGACTGAGGCCAGCTTGGTCTGCAGAATGAGTTCCAGGACAGCCAAGGCCACACAGAGAAACCCTGTCTGAAAAACAAACAAACAGCCAATTTAAAATAAAAGCAACAAAAACATGAATGCCCAAGGAAGCCCATAGTGTATCCATTTCAATCAGGCCTGGTTGCATCAGCCTGTAATCCTAGCAGGAGGGAGGCTGAAGCAGGCTGTCCATAAGTTCAACAATAGCCTGGGCAACTCAGTGGGACCCTGTCTGAAAAGAATGGCGATGCGGCTCAGCAGTACAGTGCTTGCTTAGTGTGCACCAAGTCCTTGGTTTAAATTCTACTACTGCAATAAATGCCCACCCTTCCCTCTTCCCACCACAGTGGGCTGGGTCTTCCTATAACAACAGTCAAGATAGTCTCCTACATGCCAACTTGAATTATGCAGTTCCTCAATCAAGGTTCTCTTCTCAGGATTCTAGGCTTGGTTCAGCGGGAGGGGGGTGTTGAACATGGGTCCTCATGCTTGTACCAAAGCATCATGTTTTTCTGAAAACTCAGTGCACCTCAAACCTATCATCCCCCTGTATCCTCCATGATGATGAAGGGGTGTTGGCCATGCACACTTGGACTACTGCAGCTTTTCTGATCCATCCAGGAATATACTATTACAGTACTAAAGCCTCTAAATTGCCCCTGCCTGTTGCCCTGTCCCCACTGCAGAGTGCATGGTCTGGAGGTGCAGGGTAGGGATTGTGGGGAGGCAGCTGCTCAGTGGATCACTGACTTCCTGAAGAATCAGCCCTGTCGCCTGGTGCACTTCGAGCCCCACATGCGCCCCAGACGTTCCCAGCTGCTGAGGCCTCGATTTGGGCCCACCGATCAGGTCAGAGGCATGTATGGTCTAAGGGTGGAGAAAAGTTATGTGAGTCTTTGCGCATGTGCCACATTCCTGATATGCTAAATGCTGTCATTTTCATGGCAAACTCTGGGCTCCAGAGATTCCAAGCAATAGGCAGAAAGAAAGCACTTGCCATGCTCACAGCCTGGGCCCTGCTTGCCCTCATGAGTCAGGTTTCTAAATAATAAGGCCAAAGGTATGCAGAACTAGTAAGTCCTGACCATTACCACTATCTAGGCTCCAATCTCTCCAGAAATCTTGATAGACAAGCCCCTCCTCCCTGGCTGACACCATGACCCCAGCCCTTTTCTTCTCCTTTGCTTAAGATTCCTGGAAATATTCCAGTTTCTTGGGATTCATTGTCTCATAGCCAAAGGGAGAGCCACAAGTGTCTCTTGGAAATATTCTCATTTCTTCCAGGATGGGTACAAGAGTGGGGTTCCTTTTTCTTGATTTGGGAGAGCTTCTACTCCCCTAGAGTATCTACTTTCCTATTTATGTAACCACTAGAGAAATACAATACTATTTATTCTTCAGTGGTATCATATTTTATCAGTTCTGTAATGGTGAGGTCCAACTTTTTTAACTTTCATACAATTGTGTGTCAGATTACAAGTACAGGTCAGAGCAGGTGTGGGAAGCAGGTATATGGAGCAGGTGTGTGGAGCAGATGTGGGGAGCAGGTGTGTGGAGCAGGTGTGTGGAGCAGGTGTGTGGAGCAGATGTGTGGAGCAGGTGTGGGGATCAGGTGTGGGGAGCAGGTGTGTGGAGCAGGTGTGTGGAGCAGGTGTGTGGAGCAGATGTGGGGAGCAGATGTGTGGAGCAGGTGTGGGGATCAGGTGTGGGGAGCAGGTGTTTGGAGGAGGTACATGGAGCAGCTGTGTGGAACAGGTGTGTGTAGCAGGTCTGTGGAGCAGGTGTGTGGAGCAGATGTGGGGAGCAGGTGTGTGGAGCAGGTGTGTGGAGCAGATGTGGGGAGCAGGTGTGTGGAGCAGGTGTGGGGAGCAGGTGTTTGGAGGAGGTACATGGAGCAGCTGTGTGGAACAGGTGTGTGTAGCAGGTCTGTGGAGCAGGTGTGTGGAGCAGATGTGGGGAGCAGGTGTGTGGAGCAGGTGTGTGGAGCAGGTGTGTGGAGCAGGTGTGTGTAGCAGGTGTATGGAATAGGTGTGTGTAGCAGGTGTGGGGAGCAGGTATGTGTAGCATGTGTGTGGAATAGGTAAGGGGAACAGGTGTTTGGAGGAGGTACATGGAGCAGGTGTGTGGAACAGGTGTGTGTAGCAGATGTATGGAATAGATGTGTGTAGCAGGTGTGTGTAGCAGATGTGTGTAGCAGGTGTATGGAACAGGTGTTGGGAACCCCAGACTTCACATGGTTAGGTTGGTTCTTCAATACTAAGGCTGCAGGAACTCATCATGATGTCGATCAGTAGGACTGGACAACTTTAGTGTTTAAAAAAAATGAGGACTGATATTGATACCTCACATTAACTTGAAGGTTGCATAAAGACAGGCACCTATAGAATTAGTAGACATTTTCTCAAGTGTAATGAAAACAAACTTGGTCACCTTATTAAATACTAAGGGAATGGATGCTTAGGAAAATGAGGTGATGTGTTTAAGGGAACATGTTTAGTGACAGCTCTAGGACTATGAGGTCATGTTCTGTTCATTAAATAATATTTTATAGGTATAGGTGTTATGTCTGAATGTATGTCTGTGTACCACATAGGTGCAGTGCCTATGAAGGCCAGAAGGTGGCACCAGATCTCCTGGAACTGGAGTTACAGCTGGTTGTGAGCCGCCATGTAGGTGCTGAGAATTTCACTATAGTTCTCTGTAAGAGTAGCCACTGTTCACTGCTGAGCCTTCTCTCCAGCCGCTTTGTGTCATGCAGTTCTGCAAGGCCAGTTAAGGCTTGGAATTGTTGTGACATTTCTATGTAAAGAACTAGAAAAATAGTTATAAAGAGGTGTGTGTGTATGAATTGGATTTTCAGGGACTAGACCCATGATGTCCCCTCTGAGGCATTTCTGGGCCACAGTATATCCCATGTCTGTTTCCTTATCAGGTGGCCTACTCGGATGTAAGCCCATTCTTGGTCCTTTCTGAGGCATCCTTGGAAGATCTCAATTCCAGGATTGAAAAGAGAGTGAAAGCAACTAACTTCAGGCCCAATATTGTCATTTCAGGATGCGGCGCTCATGCTGAGGTAACATTTGGTCTGCATGTTCTCTTTCTTTTTATTTTATGGAAGATGTAATAGTTATTACTAGGAGGTCCCTCACTCTAATCCAAGCATGGGAGGTAGACTCAGAAGGATTGGAAGTTCAGAACCAGCCTCAGCTACATGATTGAGTTCAAGGTCAGCCTGAGCTACACAAGACAGTGTCTCAATGACAACAAAAGTATAACAGTTATTAACGTTGGACTAAACTACAAGAAGTGAGTAGTTTATGGTCCCTGAACTTCACAGTGATCCTGTTCTTGGGTTTGTTGAGCACCCTCCTAAGAAGTGAAGGCTTGTGTGTGATAGATGCGCACAGGTGAGACAGAGTGCTGCTCTGTGAGGTCTGAGGCTTACACAGAGAATCCCGAGTTGGCAGCTTGACTGTTGTGCTAAAATTTACTCAGCATGGACCACAGGTCTGTGTCACTCATGGAATAAACAAAGTGTGTGTTGTCTCTTGCTGCCCGTCCTACTTGCCTGGTTTCTGCCTAGCTGCTGACTCCCTTGAGAAATTTAGCAAGACTACTGGGTAAGGCGTGGGGTACTTACCAGCTTGCTGGTGTTCCCAAACACTTCCGGGACCCCTTCAGATGCCCCACACTGTGCTTCAGCATGGTGAACTATGATGCTGGTTCTAGTGTCCTGGGAGGTCTTGGTAGCTGCTTTGTCTTTGTAATAGCCTTTGGCTGCTGCCTCTGACTCTGTCTGATCTGTCATGAAGTCAGACTCTGGTCATGATGGAACAGAATGGGAGAATTAGGAAGTGTGAAAATAGTGGTGGTTTGATTGAAATGTCCTCCATAGTCTCAGGCATTTGAACAGTTGATTCCTAGTTAGTGGCACTATTTGGGGAGGCTTAGGAGGTGACCTTGTGGCATTCCCAGTTTTCTCTCTCTGCTTGTAGTCATGGTTCAAGATATAAGCCCCTAGCTTTTGGCTTTGGCTGCCATGCTTTACTCTGCCAGCATAGACTCTGTTCCTCTGGAACCAGAAGCCCAAATACACTCTTCCCTCTATAATCTGCCTTGGTCATAGTGTTTCATCACAGCAATAGCAAAGTAACTAATATAGTAATGAATGTACAACAACTCAAAAACACAGCCCTGGACTTCCTCTGAAGGGCTGAGTTTTGTTGATGAAGAAAGCATGTATTCCCTGAGTTTTTATCTTATCCAGAGTCCTTTTCATTTTCCAACATCTGCCTGGGCACAACCCTCTCACAAATTTGCTTCTGGCTCCTCCCTCTGCCCTGTCCCTCCCAGACCCAGTCACATGCACTTGCCTTGTGATTCTCAGTTCTTGACCACATGCTTAGTCAGACTTTGATACTTTGTCCTGCCTGGACCACAAAGTGTTCTCTCTTGAATCCTAGAGAGGCAAGGCACCAGGGGGCGCTCTTACACTTTTCAATGTTTGCCTTGCTCCAATAGCCTTCAGGAGCTGTCTTCTCTCAAACGTAAAGGTCCTTAGGGCACAACATGACCACCCCTGTTTGATCCCAGAACATACCCCCTCCCCACATGCACACGAATATACAATAATAAGTAAATAAATAAAATTTGAAGTTATCCACATATGTAATTAATAAGAAAATGTCCTTACCCCTTCTAGAACACTCCAATTACTCAAGTTCTTCTGTCAGCTCTGCACAGCTGACTTTCTAGTTTCCAATAAAAGATCTACAAACAGCAAACTGGGCCTTTAGCAATATATAACTAAATCCAGGCCATACTCGGACCAGAGGTGCTCATGGGAATTTGTTCTTTACTTTCTAGGATTCTTGGAATGAGCTCCTCATTGGGGATGTGGAACTGAAGAGGGTGATGGCTTGCACCAGGTAAGACCCTCTCCTGTCCCTGTGGGGGAGGAGCAAGGCCTGCCTCTTTGCTTTGTCCCCTATGTGATGCTTTATATGTATCCAGGTGCCTTTTAACAACGGTGGATCCAGACACTGGCATCATGGACGGGAAGGAGCCTCTGGAAACACTGAGGAGGTAGAGCCAGGTGGATGGGGTCTCACGCTGGGGTTCGGGTGTCTGAGGAGCCATGTTTATCGATGTTTGTAAAAGGGGACAGTGGCCACACCACACTTATGCAGAGGAGAAGCTTTAGGCCACCAGGTAGATGGCATGTACAGAAGAAAGTCAGTATATCCGGGGTTCCAGACAGCCTGTTGTTTTCTGTTCCCACTGGAGGCCTTGGGCAGTAATCTCCAGAGAGTAAGGGAGACTCGGTAAGGTAGCATGGAAAATATCACTATGTAAGGCAGGTACTGCAGAGGAGCAGGTTCCGGGACTGAGATGACCATACACTGTAGCTCTTGTTTGTATCCATTCAACATGGAACCAAGGAGATACAGCAAAGAGGAAGACAGGCTGGGCAGTAGAAAAAGACCTGGCCACTGCAGTATTGTGACCATAAGCAAATTTCCTCCTGCAAGGTCCCGACTGTTCTGTTTTAGGAGTTAGGGATTGGATCTAGGTCCTTGTGAATGCTTGGCAAGCTCTTCTACCACAGAGCTCTGTCTCCTGCCATTTTACTTCTTGTTAATTCTTCTTCTTATTATGATTGGTGGTGGTGGTAGTAGTAGTAGTATGGGTGTTTGCCTACATGTATTTGTATGTAGTATGTATGTGTGTGATGTCCACATAGGGCTGAAGAGGATGTCAGATCCCCTGGAACACATTCCAGACAGCTGAGAGCGACCATGTAGGTGCTGGGAACTGAATCAGGGTCCCTCTGCACGAGCAGCAAGCAAGTGCTCTGAAGCAGCTCTTCCTTTTTAGTTTGAGGAGGCAGGGTCTCACTAAGTCATCCTGGTTGGTTCTGAGCTCACTTTGTAGCCTCGGTAATCCTTGGACTTGTGGCTCTCCTGTCTCGGTCTCCAGAGTAGCTTGGACCACTACGTATGACTCTGGTCCTCATAGAGTAAAAGAAACAGGGAAAACTAGAACAGCGTTTGTGTGGGTCAGAAAAATGACGTGGAGTTGATTCTAACCTCTGTATGTCTTTCTCTCTCCCTTGCACACTGCCTGGGGAGGGACGTCCTTTCCCTCTGGCTTTGAAAGGCTCTTGTGCTTGCAGAATCGACTCCTCACTAGGGCTGGTTTTCTGCATTGTCAGGGACCTCTTGGGAGGCTATGTTTGTAGAAAGAGAGTAATGGACCCCAAACACAAGAGTAAGGGCAGCAAGCGGGGATCACAGGAGCCCATACTCACCCCCTGATCTTCTACAGGCCTCTTGTAGCTCAGCCATCCTGCCCTAATTGCTTTTAATACCCAGGGAGATGGTGCAGCCAGCCGAGGTGTCTTCTATCTCTCCCTGAGATTTAAAGTGCTGTGGGTATAGTGATTTACATTCTTCTGGGGACAAGTGGTCATAAATCCGACAGGGAGAGGCCCCTCTGCAGAATATAAATCTTACAGGCAGAGCACCCAGCCCCTTCAACGGCATCTCTAGGTATCGCTGGTGCCCAGGGGTTGGTGTTGCTTTGCACTGAATGTTCTGGGCGGGGAGTCTGACCTCTCACCCACCTGCCTGGCCTTGCAGGCTCCTGAGAGCCCAGCCATATGCTCTAATTGCTTTTATATGGTCAGAGCCCAGCTGGGCAAAGTGAGGCACCTACCGCAGAGAATTATTCCAGCATTGTCTGGCTAGGCTAAGCACAGGGAGGCTTGCCCTCTGCTCATGGAAAAGGAGGAGGATGAAATCTCTGCTCTAAAGGACTGGCTGAAGCGGGTACTTTTTTTTTTTTTTTAATTTTTCCCCCTCATCACTAGGACTGAAACACAGGATGTTGTGCACTATGGGCAAACACTCTGTCTTAGCATGCTTAGGATCTTGAGGTTTCAGTTTCTTTATTTGTAACAACTGAATTTACAGAACTCCACATAACTGAAATAAAGCAACTTGTATCATTTTCAATAGGTGATTAGGTCCTCACCCCAGGTCCTTTGGCATCTTGCTGTATTTATGGATTTGACACTTTTGAGAACAGGAGAAGCCAGAAGAAATTTCATTCTTGAGGCTGGCTGCTTTCAATGACACTTAACCCAACCCTGTCAGTGACCAGGGGTAGTGACAAGTATCCATATGACACCCCTCTGGAGTTGCCATAATGATGCTTACCTCCAGCCATGGAGGTAGATCATGAAGTCTCAGAAATGGACCTGCCCACGGCTTTGTGATCTCCATGTGGGGACTGGCCAGAGACCTTGCCCATGGCCATGCCTGGTCACTGGTATGAGTAAATTAGACAGTGTGAAAAAGACAGTGTGAACAAGGCAGTGGGACTCACATCTGCTCCTCACTGGTGCACAGCACTTTATAGAAGACAAAATACTTCTGTTCACACTGCCATGTAAGGGTAGACATGTCTAACTGGAGGAGGACCAGTTAATTTTTTTTCCCTTTGGAGTTCTGGGATGGAGCCCAGAGCCTCAAGAATGCTAGACAAGAGCTGCACCACTGAGCTATAATGTCCAGTTCTTGGAGAACTCTGTTTAGGCTAAAAAAGATATCTTAGGGCCTCTTGCTTATCAGAGTAATTACATGTTCAATATGCATTGAAATGAAATATGTGGATAAATGTTCTTTGAAATATAATTTATTGCTCAGTGTGGTCTCTGACATTAGTAGTCTCAGTACTTTTGAGGCTGAGGCAGAAATATTGCCACAATTTTGAGGCTAATCTAGTCTGTATGGTCCCAGGTCATTCTGAACTAAAAAGAAAGGTCCTACCTCTAAGTGTAATTTGTTAATTCCAACAGAGATTGCATATGTATTTATATAGAGATGGAGAAAGATATAGATATACATATATAGAGATATAGATATATAGACAGATATAGATGTAGATATAGATACATAGATAAAGTCAGAGAAGATCTTTTCATCAGGCAAGACTAATGGAAAAGGCTTGGTATACACCTCTTGCAATACCTAGTTATGTCCACTAGAGGCTGCTGTTGACCTCACTTGCTCTCACCTGGCAATGAGGAATTGTCCAGGCTAGAGGTAAAGGAGTGACTGGTGGAAATCTCTGGATTCTTACCAGGCCTGGGGAGGAGGGTTGCTTAGGAAGATGTACATATGAAGAGTGGCAGCATCCTTGCTAGAAGATGAGATAGCTTTGAATTCCTGACCTTCTGGGTGGGCTTTGGTATCAGACAAGCATTTGGACACAGGATCCTGGGCACATAGGTTTTGCCTCTGAGACTCACCTGTATAGCAAGGTGTCACACATTCCTATTAAGGCTTTGTAATAGGGGTTGAAGTCATGTGGGAAATGCTTGGTGCATATGCAAGTATGTGAGAGGTACAGAAACTCCCTGAGGTAGGTAGACCCCATAGCCCCATAGCACTGAGTCTAGGAATAAGATATGCCAAGCCACAGAAATGATTGCTGGCTCCTCCCTCCCCCAACCTCCAAAACCTCCTTCATCACCAAGGGAGAGGCAAATAAAAAGAGATGCCTGGATTCATGGTCCAAGGCTATTGCAGGCTGTGCCATGAGGAAACATGATAGGCAAGCTGAGATAGCCCAGAATAGCAGCTTTATCCATCTATCCATCCATCCATCCATCCATCTATCCATCCATCCATCCATCTACCCATCCAGCCATCAATTGATCGATTCATCCATCCGCCTATCCATCCATCCATCCATCCATCCACTCATCCACCCTTCTATCTATCCATTGATCCATCCATTCACCTATCCATCCATCCACCCACCCACCCACCCACCCACCTCCCATCCATCCATCCATCCATCCATCCATCCATCCATCATCCATCATCCATCATCCATCCAGCACACTATGGCTGCAGTGTGCCAGCTCCCATAAGCTGAGGTGGGTTTAGGGGCTCCAGAGAAGACAGACTCATCTTAGTTTCTTTATTAGTTATTATTTTAAATGTATTCTTTGACAGTTTCACGCATTCATATAATGTATTGTGGTGCAGTAGCTCAGTGGGTTGAATGTTACCCTAGCACATCACGGACCTACATTTGGTTCCTCAGCAGCTTCTAAGGTGGGGCAGTGCCACCCAGGCCTGTTATCGTTGCAGAGAGTCATGAGTTCCATGTCTTCCCAGCCTCAGTCAGCTCCTGACCCACCTGGACCATAGGAGACCTTGCCTCAGATCTACTTCCTCAACAGAAAGTTTAGATCTCTGTTGGTTATGCTAGCACACACCAGGAAGATACACGAAGAGGCAGAGGCAGGAGGGCCAGGACATCAAAGCTAGCATGGGCTGTATCGCTTGTCTATGATCATCCCACCCCAAACTTGTGGGACCTTGTCTGTGTCTCTGTTCTTGTCAGCCATTTCTGATTTGAAGAGCAGTTAGAACCATGTTTGTACAATGCGTTTTTTAAAATGAAGTAGAACAAAATCAATACTTTCAGTAATAATGTTTTAAATATGACTGTAATAGAATGGGGGTTAACTTCAATGAGATACCGAGGCAAGCTCCCCTGGCAGAACAGTGCTGGAGGAGGGGGTCTTGCCAGGATATTTCCACATTGGCTCATGGCTTCTTGAGTTTTCTGCCTGACAAAAGTTCATATCCTACTTACCCACCCCCAAGGTCTTGCTATAGAGCAGGTTGGCCTTAAACTTCTCCTGAGTGCTGAATGACCACATCTAGCTCATACCATCTGTAAGAGTGTCACTAATACTCTTGTCCATTCAACAAGCAATTACGGATCAGGGGTGACTGACAAGGCCCAGAACTGCATGTAAGTGGGACAAGACAATTGGGCACACATTGATTTTTCCCAGGGTCACTCTGTCCCATAGAACAGACAAATGTGTGACCTGAACATACAGGACAAAAACGTGGCAAGAACAGAGATATCAATAAACAGGAAATTGCTGCTAGCTTATGGGACTGTGGGCTTCTTCCCTGGAACAGGTGACATTTGAGCTAGGTCTGGAGGAAAGGGTGGAATTCTGCTGCTTGGGGAGAGGAAGGAGGGGTAGTTACTGGGAGTCACCAAGCCAGGTAAAGCACAGTGGGGAATCTTGCAGTGTTGCATGGGTGCAGTAAGTAGCTGGAGAGAAAGGCTTGAGAAACTTGGCCATGGCCAGGCAGGAGGCTTTGTACACCACACAGAAAGCTTCAGTGTTATTTGTTACAAACTGGGGGCCCAGAAAGGGTTTCCTAGTCAAAGAGTGTCAAGATCAGTGTGATCTCCAGCATGGGGACTGGAGAGATTTCTCCGTGATTAAAAGCACTGGCTGCTCTTCCAGAGGGCCTGGGTTCAATTCCCAACACCCATTTTGGGTACCCATAACATTGGTAACTCCAGCTTCAGAGGAGCCAACATGCTTTTCAGGCCACTTCAGTCACTGCACACGTGTGTGATTCTCTTATACACATGCAGAGAAATACTCATACACGTAAGTAAATAAATCTCTATTTTAAAAAGACAGTTATGGGGATGGAGAGATGGCTCAGGGGTTAAAAGCACTGGCTGCTCTTCCAGAGGACCCAGGTTCAATTCCCAGCACCCACCTGGCAGCTCACAGCTGTCTGTAATTCCACTTTCAGTCATTATGACACCCTCACATAGACATACATGCAGGTAAAACACCAGTGCACATAAAATAGATAAATATTTTGGAGAAAAGTTAAAAGTCAGTCACAGAACAGTGTGGGGGGATGAAAAATGAAGAGGTTCTGCTGAGAAGTTATCACAGTCAACTTCTTACATAGCATGGGCATGTCAGCAGCAACACTGGAACAAGGGCAGCAAGAAAAGGGAGAGGGGTCAAATGGTACCCTCCAAGGACCCCGATCTGGGCAACCCTGGACTGGAAAGGAAAAGATGTAAAGGAAGAGCGACAGTCTGACCAGGACTGCGGGGCCGGGGACGGGAGGGAAATTATAGACATGTCCAGGCACATGGATATCTAGTTTCTCTTTTAAAAGCTGTAAAACTTTCTTAAATTTTAGGCTTATTTATTTATTCACTATTTGATGTGTGTGAAGGTTTTGCCTGCTTGTGTGTCTGAGTGCGATGTGTGTGCAGAGCTGATAGAAGGAATGAGGTCAGATAGAGCCCATGTGATCCAGCTGCTACAGGCAGTTGTGAGCCCCCTGGTGTGGGTGTGAGGAACCCAACCGTGGTCCTCTGGGAGAGCAGAAGGTGCTCTTAACCACTGAGCCATCTCTCCAGCCCCAAGTATCTAATTTCTTGATGCTAGAAAAGGAAATGTCACTACAGTGAAAAGCCATGAGGATGTAGCTTTTGGCCATGTCTTGATGGCTCCTTCCAACTGGCCTGTCACTCTCTGGCTCTCCCCAGGGGATGCTGGGCTGTTAGATCTAACTGGACCCTGGTTCTAGGCACAGCCTGCCTGAGTGGGTGGACACCTGCTTCAGTCCCAACAAAGCCACATGGGGTCCAAGTTCTTCCTGTTCCTCCTGACTCATCAAGGTCTTTTCCTGTTGCAGTTACCGCCTGTGTGACCCTTCGGAACAATCAGTATATGGAAAGCTACCCCTCTTTGGACAGTATTTTACTCTGGAAAGTTCAGGGACAGTCAAAGTGGGAGACCCCGTGTACCTTGTGAGCCAGTAATGGGAACTGCATGATCTGGACCAGCAGCTGTTCCTTAGAAACATCTTGGAAGCTGACATCACTGGAAATGGTTCTCTGCCTTTTCTTTGGGTCTATGTTTCCAAGTTTTCCTCTTTCAGATTTCCTTCTGTCTCAGTGTTTCCTGGGTCCAGCACACAAAGCAGAGGAACCCAGCCTTGCAAACTTAGCAGGACTCTGTCGAGTTTCTTGAAGAATGAAGGGATTATCAGAATGCTCTGTTTATAATTATGGAGTAATTTTTCTACTTCTGCATTCGCTTGCCAAGGCAGCAGATGTCCATCATCTCCCCACCCTTCTTTTGGGAAAGGAAAGAAAACAGGGGGAAGACTGTATAAGCCAGAAGAATGTCCCAGAATGTTTTGCTACCCCTGGACATCATGCATACAATGGAAATTAAATACTTTCCCAAGTAAGGTTGTAATGATGACATTTTACTTTTCTCCTCGATTCTGGGGCTAGCTTAAGAGAGAGTAAGTACTGGAGATATTAATTTTTTTTCCACAGGCCCTTCTGAGTCTGGCGTTGTTGCTCCCTAGACAGTGTCTGTGAAGACCTGATGTATCCTTTAACTTAAGGAACACCTCTGAAATGTCAGGACACAAAACTAGCTTGCTAGAACATTCAGGCTGGCTCCCAGCTTTGTGAAAAGCAAGATGATTTTTCTGCCCTTGAAACAAAGTGTTGATACATTCTACCCAGGGTTCAAAATCTTTATTAGCACATGGGGGCAAACAGTGACATCAGAGAGGGAGAGACCTCTCCCTGGGTGCCTAACATGAGATTTGATCTTGCCCAGGGAAATGATGGATCTCAATATGAACAAAATGAAATGGCCCCAAGGGGATGTGGCACTGTCTAGTGGTGATGAATGGCAGCTCAGCCCTTCTTGAGTTAAAAAAAAAAAAAAAAAAAGTCAACTTCATGTCTGTGTCTAGTTTTTTTTTTTTTTTTTTTTTTTGTAGTAGAAACATTTCTGTCCAAAGTAAGTGGAGGATACTCTAGGTGCCCTGTGTTTCTCTCCTTCAGGATGGTGGCTTTCTTTTATTTTTTAAATTTTACCTTATTTTTAAATGTATATACATATGTATGTATGTATGTATGTTACATATACTAGTGCCATGATACAAAAGTGGAGGTCAGAGAGCAGCTTGAAGCCAGCTCTCTCTGTCTATCATGTGAGACCCTGGGACTCAAATCAAGTGGTTATTCACCCCCATCCCGATCACCTCACTGGCTCTAGATCCATATTCCTAACACCTTGTGAAAATGACATCTATTTCCCTCTCGTTGGCTCATCACTTCAGGTGACCCCCTCATTATCTCTGGACAGAACCTCGTGTGAGTGGCCAGAGCTAGCGCTGCAGGGCAACTCCAAAATGGAAGCGGGTACACAGACAGTCTTCCCAGTTAACACTCGCCTTCTTCTGCCTGTTGGATGAAGGGTTCTTCTCCAAGACAGAAAACCCAGTGACCTCAAGAAGCTCTGAGCAGCTTTCGAGCCCACTGTCAGTAAGATTTAAAGGCCATTCACATGTGTTTATTTTAAAATTAATGAGTGGGTTAGTACCAAAGGCAAAGCTGATGTCCCATTTATTTTGGATACTGATCACATTCACTTGAAATATAGGACCAGGACCATCACAAACCTTCAGAAAGAGCTCACAACAGCCAGTGATGGGCATGTGAGGTCAGGCCCAACAGGCTGCCTGTGGGTGTACTATGCATGGTGCACCCATGGCAAAGAGGTGAAATCCAGGGCTGCTGAGCAGGAGTGGGGCTGTGGCATGTCTCTTGTGGGCAGCCTTGAAGGCTGGCTGTCTTGGCATTCCACAGAAAAAGCTAGAAACTTGCCAAGAGGAAAGAAAGTAGCTACTTAGGTGCACAAGAACAGAGAGAAAGTGGGATGGAGCTGGGTGTGGTGGTGCGAACCTATTGTCCCAGCCCTTGAAGGACCCAGCCAGGGGCTCATCAAGAGTTCCAAGACTTCGTTGATTGGGGTACATAGTGAGTGTGAGGCCTGTCCTAGTTTATACAGCTGTGATAAAATGCCATGGCCAAAAGCAGCTTGGAGGAGAAGAGGGTTATTTGGCTCACAGTTCCAGGTTATAAATCACCATGTGGAGAAGTCAAGGCTGCATGCAGGTGCTTGAGGAAGCTTGTGCACACACTCCTTTGCTATTTCTTCACTCATACAGTTCAGGGTTCCCCCTGCCTAGGGAATGATGGCACCCACAGTGGGTGGGGTCTTCCTATGTCGATTAAGATAATCTCCCATAGATGTGTCTACAGGCCAAACCAATAGAGACCATGTCTCACTGACACTCTTCCCAGGTGTTTCTAGGTTGTGTCAAGTTCACAAAACCAACCATCACATGCCCAGTCTGGGTCATGTGATAAGTCCCCCCACCTTCATTTTTATGTGTTCATGTTTTTGTGTAAGAGTGCCAGAAGTTGATGTACCCCTCCAGGATTAATGTGGGGCTCGTCATTTTTAATTTGCTGACAGGCCAGTGAGTCTCTGAGATTACCGGTGTCTGTTTCCCCCTCCTCCCTGACTGGAGTTACTGTTGGTGCCTATCTTGGCACAGGGGCAGAGAGTTCAAAACTGTCCTCAGCAAGCCCTAAGACATAAAGGTCAAAGGTGTGGCTCTAGTAGGATGTTTAGCTGTCTTATTCTAAATAACAATAGACCTGGTCTGAGGTGTGGCTACTCCTGACCCTCAAGGCTAGGGAAGGAGAAGTTGAAGCTAAGATGTGGTTTCTGAACCCTTAGAACAAGGAGGAAGAGAAGTCTGTTTGTTCTGTATACATGATACCATGCTCCCCTTTTTGGTTAAGGTATATAAGAGTGGTGAAAAATAAACCCATGGCATTTCAGTATTGACTGATCTGCCCTCCTGATTTTATTCTGTGTCTCTGTCTTTTCCTTGTTGCCTATAGCTAGCCTGTCCCTCATCCACACACCCCCACTCACAAACTTGGGGCTGCTCAGCTGGTTCCAATTGGTGCCCACAAAGACAGCTTCCGATAAGTTACAGATGTACCTGGCTTCTCAATGTGATGCTAAACATCTGAACTTAGATCCTTATACCCCCTACACCAAACCCAAGGGTTTCTGTTGAATGCATACCACCTTCTCACCATCATCAAATCAACAAGTCCAAAGCTGGACTAATCTAAGTCAGGGACCACTTGGATTTGTGTTCCTTGAAAGTGGCCGAGTGGCTCTCAGATGTGGCCTTGACAGAACACCTAACTGGAGTGTTGTTGGTTGCACATCCCTGTGATGCATTTTCCAGAGTGGAAGCTTGAGTTTGCCGGGGAGGGAGTGTGCTTTTAAAACAGAATGTCATGGCACAATAAGTTTGAGAAGCCCAGCATACCTCAGTCTTCTTCAAAGACAGAACAGCCCATCTGAAGGCTTTGGGAAGGCCTTTGTAAACATGTGCCTGTGTTTCACTTGGCCCTTTGAGAAATGTCATTCCCATATCTAGGGAAAGTTGTGGCAGATCTTAGGAGTTCCATTCCACAGGCATGGTGCATTCATGGGAAACCCAGTGGAGACAAAGTGACCCCACTGCCAGACCCTCTGTAGCCCTGGCTTCATGACAATACCCAGTGGTAGAAGTCCCCAAGGATGCCCTCTCTCCATCCATTAACTTCATCTTTATACCACAGGCCTTCTTAACTCATGTATCATCTATCTATCTATCTATCATCTATTTTTCTATCATCTATCCTATCATCTATCTATATCTATCTATCATCTACCTGCTTATCTACTATCTACCTACCTACTTATTACCTATAATTCTCTCTCTCTCTCTATATATATATATATATATATGTATATATATATATTGTTTGTTTGTTTGTTTGTTTGTTTGTTTTTGGGAACAGGGTCCAGCTACATATTCCAGGGTGGCCTTAAACTTATATTCCTACTGCTTGAGACTTACCAGTGTTTGGCTGAGTGATGTCCACACCCTGTTCTATATGCATTTTGAACTGTGCTTGTGTTAGCAAGAAGACACAGTTTACTTCTGCTGCTTCCTTAGATATGGTCCAGTGAATTGTGATGGCTTTAGTATGGCAGCTTTGTTTGTTTTTGAAGTAGAAGCGCATGTAGCCCAGAGTGGCCTCGAACTTGCTACAGAGCCAAGGATGACTGAACTTTTGACCCTCTTAGCACCCCATCCTCAGTGCTGGGATTACAGCAGTGCACCGACACACCTAGTTGTATGCAGTGTTGAGGATCAAACCCGGGGCTTCATGCATGCTAGGCGAGCGCTCTACCAACCACACACTATGTTCACCAGCCCCATGTTATGACTACATCATAAATTCTTAATTTCAAACAAACCTCTCAGTACCACCAAGTTCTTGGAATCTATCTAATAAAAAAATGTGCCTGTTGTTCCCCCATCCCTTATGTGACCATACCTTCCTAAGAAATGAGGCCACAGCTTTGGCTACAACCCAGACACAACTCTGGCCAGACCAGCGGGGCTATCAGCTCCTACACTGCCCCAGCTTAGAGACATAAGTTACCCTTGTTCACAGTATTAGTCTTCCTGGGCAGCCTGTGGGTCCTGTTTCCCATCCACCTTCTCCTGAGGCCATTTTGGATGGGTGGGTCAATTTGGCTATTGACCAGTCTAAAGCATTCATCCTTGGTGGTCCTCAGTCATGTGCCTTTACCTTCACAGAGCACTCTACACTGGAACTCGCTGCCTTCCATTCTTTCCCTTCGTTCTCTTCTCTTTTGCTCTCCATGTGTCCCTGACCTGGGTCCTCAATAGTCCATCCCCCATTGAGCCTAATGGGTTCCGGGTCAAGCCTACCTTCTCTCACCTCTTTAGGATTTTTCTGAGAGTCCTGTATATAAAGTATTGTCATAATTATCCCTGATTAATATTTTTGCACCTAATAAAGTCTCAGGGCCTGGGCTGGGGAGGCTCACCTTCCAGATGGCTTGTCCAGCAATTAAAGTGACTTGTTAGTTGGAGGCCTGGGATGGCTGAGGACAGCTGGAGAGCTGTCCTTTGCAAGCAGCTCTGGTTAACATCAACCAGGAAAGCTCTCTGTAAACACATGAATAATTGATTGTGCAGCACTCACATAGCTACTGCGGATCTGAGCCCGGATGACTCATTTGCGAGCCATCCCTGTCGTCTGGATGCCATAACATTGGAGGAATGATGACGGTTTCTTGGAGGTTCTTCTGTGGCCGGCGTAGCCAAGACGAAGACTGTAATGGTTTGTTATGATGACCTTTGCTATTCCATTAGGCTCAATTGCTTTAAAAAATGATGTGCGCGCACTTTAGGAACATTTTTACCCTTTACGTTGACCTGACATCATAGTTTATATTAGCAAATGTATTAATGACAGAGGAGTGTTTTCATGTCCC